ATTCCCTTACTAAAGGGACGGGCTGAGTGAAGCTCGTAAAACCTACTTCCCTTACTAAAGGGATGGGCTGAGTAAAGCTCGTAAAATTTAATTCCCTTAATAAAGGAGTGACGAGCTGAGTGAAGCTCGTATAATTTATTCCCTTACTAAGGGAAGATTACCCATGGGAAGAGTACCCAAGGGTACAAAAAATAATATCCAATGGAAGATTACTCAGGGGTACCAAAAATAGTACCCAAGGGAAGGGTACCCAGGGGTACCAAAAATAGTACCCCAGGGAAGATAACCCATGGGTACTAAAAATAGTACCTAGGGCAGAGCACCCAAGGGGAAGATTACCCAATGGTACTAAAAATAGTACCCAGGGGCAAAATACCCAAGGGTACTAAAAATAGTACCTAAGGGAAGATTACCCAAATGTACTAAAAATAGTACCCAGGGGCAGAGTACCCAAGGGTACCAAAAATAGTACCAGGGGTAGAGTACCTAAGACTACTAAAACTATTACCCAAGGGAAGATTACCCAAGGGTACCAAAAATGGTACCCAGGAGTAGAGTACCTAAGGGTACTAAAACTAGTACCCAAGGGTACCAAAAATAGTACCCACGGACAGAGTACCCAAGGGTACTAAAAATAGTACCTAGAGGCAGAGTACCCAAGGGAACCATTATCCAAGGGAAGAGTACAAAAAAAAAAAAAAAAAAAAAAAAAAAAAAAAAAAAAAAAAAAATTGTTACTGTTCCCAGGGCAAGGAAAAAAAAAAAAAAAAAAATTAACATTCCTAAAGCTAGATGAGCAAGCTTGGGAATGGGGGGCAACTGATAGGGAAAAATAACCTATCTTGACCAGCCGTCGGACCTCTTCGACATATTTCGTTACCAGAGATAAAGATTTTCCTCAGATAAGAATGATGACATTTCTTATCCAGGATAATGAATGACGACGTGGTTCAACAGGGTGAGGAACCTTGGAATAATTTGAGGAAGTCAAAGGAGTAAATCTTATCCTCGAAAAATCTGGCAATAAACGATCTCCTCTGATCTCGCACAAGCGGATCTCTCGCGGGATCAATTTGATTCCAATCAACAGCCATAAATAGGGTGCCAAGTCGTTAAAGAAGGTACGAGAAAAAACCCTTAAACAGAATATACATAATTATTATGTGATACGATTACAAGTACTAACTTGATCGTCGGAGGGTCCTCGGCTAGCACCCCACTGGTGTCATTCGAGGTGACGTCCCTTTGTTTTGCAAGTAAACGCCGTCGTTCCGAGTCGTGAGGATTTCCGCATCAACAGCTGCCATTGTCCTCCTTACTCTCACTCTCACTCATTTCATCCATCTTCAAAGCAAGTATACTTTCTTCAAATTATGAACACGCATAAAAAATCACACTAAAATCCCTTACAGTAACCACTGTAGTCATGTCTTCCTCAAATATATCCCTTGCCTTCTCTACCAAATTCCTCCTAATATAGTAATCTGTAAGTGAAGTCCAAAGCCGCCCAACCTCATCCGTGAACTTCCTAATTCCTCCGCGAATTATTACATCCACATTCAAGCCTGAGACTTCCTTGGCATGCTGAGAGAGCAAATCACAAAGCTCAAGCCACAACCTGTGTTTAGTTTTTCCTTTTATCAAATAAAACTGGTCATCATTCAAAACCCCCGCTAATCTCTCAGACACCTCTTGCCAAAGACACATTTTCAACAAAAATTCTATGAAATCTTCAATATGTGAAGATTGGGACACCCTTTTGGCTGACAAATACTAAATAGGGTTCCCAAATTCGATCGTGTTGGGTCATAAGCAAAGCGCATAGAGCACGATCGAAAGTGCGGCAAGTGCGAGTGAGGAACTTCTGATAGGTTAGGGTTTGTAAATACATGATCCAAATGCGAGGCACATTGTGCATTATGAACAGAGCTCTTTCAAACGTGTTGTTGAGTGTTTGATGGCTAGGTAGCGAACGAGTTGAAGGCATTCACAGAGATAAGCGTATCAGAGCTTATAGCTTCCAGGGAGGGCTTTGAGATCTCGTTTGTAGATCATATGACGTTTATTGAATTTTGCGTCGGTTTGAGCAATTAGGTAGCGCCACCTTAGCTTCAAGCTGAAGGGATTTCGCAGGAGCTCTTCTTTGTAGAGGAGGTCATCTTAACTTGGGTAGGTATTGAAATGGCCAATTTCAGAGTTCAAAACCCTAAAACACATAAAGGGATAGAACCCTAAAATCCAAACCCTAAAACACATAAAGGGGATAGAGAAGTTTATAGTTCCTAAACCCTGTGATCCTCCGAAATGGTACATTACACAAACGGCACAATGCGCCCAATGAAGTTTTTCTCAAAATCCTAAATTGAGAGTGAGAGAGAAAAGGAAGGAAATGAGGAAAAATGAGACCCGACTTCTTGAGTAAGAATTTGGGTTATTCATGTTTAAGGGTGAGATTTAAATTTTTTTATTTCATCTAATTGCCTCTTTATTTACAAAAATTTGAGTTATTACAATTTTGTTCTTTGAATAATGGTTGATTACATTTATATTTATAAAGTTATGAAAAACTAATAAAAATATATTTTTTTAGTATAAAAAATTATAATATATCATCTTATTGTCATAGTTCCTCGTACTCGTATCCTATTATATAGATATTCAGTAATGAAATGCTAGGATCTTGATCACTAATAAGAAGGTGATGTCTTAGTGGAATTGGGATTGTGGTCTACAAGTATACAAGTATATTCTGCATTTGCAACAAACTAGGGGAAGCTTTAAAGATAGTTTTCATATAATTAAAAATTAGAAAAAAATTTAAAAACTTTACTTGTTTAATTTATTAAAAAAAACAGTTATATATATATATATATATATATATATATATATATATATATATATAAACATATTTTTCAATAATTTTCTTTTATAATTATCTAAAAATAATTTTTAAAATTTTTAAATTCTTTAAAACTGTTTTCATACTTATAAAATTGGGTCTGCTTGATTGGTTTGTAATTTTGGAAACAGTTTATATATCTCAAAAAATTAGTACAAAAATTCTGATTGGTTCAATTTTCTAAAAACTCAATTATAAAAAAAACAATACTTAGATCCTCACATGTGAGTGATCTACAATATCCTTACCATTTATGTGGTCCAACAAAATTAAAACATGTCAGAAAAATAAAGAAAGAGAAAGTAAATTGTATTCTATCCGATTGAGATTGGTAGAGAGGGTTCAACACTACTTTTTTTTTTGTTTTTTAGGGTTTAACGTCTTGTTAGCTCTCTTTCCTACACAAGCCTTGAACCCTATTTAACTGAACCTTCTTTACCCGATCTCAATCGAGTAAAATTCTATTTATTTTCTCTCTTTATTTTTCTGACATGTTTAATAAAAGATGACGGATTTTATTTTTATTGGACCACATATTTGGTGAGGATATTGTAGATCCTCACTAGTGATGATCTAAGTACTGTTCATTCTAAAAATGTTTGTTTTCATAGAATTATAAAAAGATTGTTCTCTCACAAAACTACTAAAAGTTATTTATTGAGAACTCAGTTATAAAAATGTTTGTTTTCAGTAGGGATGCACATGGTCCGATTTTGAGGATTTTTTGAACCAAACCGCTCCCTACGATTCCAAAAATCTGAAAACCAGACCTGACCATTTGAGCTATGGAACCAAACCAGACAAAATCATGAAAAAGGGGTTGGTTTGGTTCCCACGGTTCTAGTTGATTTATTTATTTTTCCTTTAATTGTATATAAAACAAAAATAACAAAAACAAAATTCACATTCCCGAATCCAAGACAAAAATAGAGTGAGAAAAAAGAGAAGGGAAATTGGGTGAAATATACCCACTCTATAAATTAAAAAAAGGTTGAATCTTGCTGAAAACTAAAAAAATTGATTCGCTGTCGTTGTTGGTTGTGCCTGAGACCCAAACATGTCGTGAGACTTAGTGAATTGAAAGTTAGAGAGAAGGAAAAATAGTATGATAACGGGTGTCACTGATGGCAGCGATAAAAGATCGATGGCAATAACCGAATTTCGAATGTTGCATGAGAAAGAGATCAACAACTGGATACCACGACGATGACAATTAAGAAGTGAATGAGGCGGGCATGAGCAAAGAAAAAAAATTGAGATAGTGGAAGAATGTTGGAAAGTGGTACCCAAAAATCAAAACATTGAGAGAAAGAAAAGCAAATAAAAAAATATTAGATAACAACGAATGTTGGCTCATGTTTGATCGTTGTGCCGAAATCTCTTGCAATGTTAAGAGTACTATATATATATATATATATATATATATATATATATATAACAATTCGTTTTGGGCCGGGCCGATCCTGTAGGACCCTAATTCGAGACTGCACAAAAAATTCATGGTTTCATTATTTTAAAATCGTGACCGTAACAAACTGCTATGGAATCGGTCCAAGCCACCGGATTCGGTTTAGTTTTTCGGGTTGACAATTTTTTTGCACACCTCTAATTTTCAGAAGACTATAAAAGATTAAGGCTTCGTTTGTTTCGACGTAAAATGTTATTTTTGAAAAATATATATATATATTTTTAGGCAAAATATTCTTTTATTTTTACTTTCTCCGTATTTGGCAAAGGTCTGCGTAGAAGTTGATATCGAATCCATTGGACATGGCATGTAAAATAACTTACCGAAAATTGATGGATAAATTATTTTTGTTAAATTTTAATATTTTTTTATTTGTTAATATTTTACGATAACCAATCACCAGAAAATAAAAAAATATTTTATGTCCAAACGAGCCTAAATAAAATTTTATTTTCTAAATTTTTAAAAATTATTTTCTAAATTACATCTCAAACTAAGCGGACTTTAAAAATTTGACCCTTAGCCCCTTGCGCTGCATATTTAATAGTTTTCTGAATTGACCACAGGCGGACCCTAAAAATTTGGCCCTGGCCCCTTACGCTACAAATTGGACAATAAAGCCCAATAGTTTCAAGGCGCGAATTTCAAATCCACCAAGGTCCATGTAATTGCAGTATATACTATTAGGGATTAGGGTTTGGATGGATTGAGTAAGAAATAAAAGTGGTATCGCGAAGAAGATAAGCAAATCTGTAAATACGAAGCCAAGGGCAAATCGAATGGCATCCTCTGACTCCGATTCCGATCTCCACCGCAGGATGTTTATGTTCAGTGGGACGCAACCCGTAGCGAGGATTCCTCCCCATCGACCTAAAGAAAGCCTTGGTCCCAATCAGTACCTAGCCTGCACCGCTCTTCCCCTCAGTCTTATTTGCGACTCTTGTGGCAACCGCATGCCCAAATGCTCCAGGATTGCTGTCACACACGATGTCTCAGGCAAAGTACGTTCTATTCATCAGATAGATCATCGTCCTCTCTCTCTCTCTATATATATTGATTTGGTTTTGTATATTATATGCAATGCAGAATCGTCTAGATTTAACTTGGTCCAAGATCTATGTGGATTGCACCAGTTGCATAGCTGAGATCACGTTAAAGCGTAAGGGCTTGAAATTCGTTGTTCTGTCTGGCGCAACTCCGTATTTCCGGCCAGAGGATGAGGTATAAACACCATTTTCTTTAATTTAATTTGCACACACATATATATCTATATATATTATATTTATTTATATATATGTATCATCTCATTATAGCATCCCTTGCTTGCTTAAACATATATTGATATATATGTTTACCATACACATTACATAGATTTATTGATAGAAAAGGAAGTCAATTTGGTTTTCTACCTTTGCATCAGGAAGTCGAACAGCAAAATAGGAAAACGTTGCATAGGAAGGAATTATTTGCTCGATTGTACATCACTGTTTTTTGTTATAAAAATAAAGAGAGAAAGAAGAAGAAGAAGGGAACAAACCTTCCAATCTCGTCAAAACAAAATTTATCATGTATATATATATCCTGGTTAATCTCCCAACAATGAATGTTTCATCTAACGAACAAAGTGATGGCAGTTTTATTATTAGTTATTTATTTATTACTTTTATTTTTTTTGTCAAACTGCTCATTTGATTTTCATTAAATTGAAGAAGGATTAACGTACCTGCTAATCTTGATGCAACAAAGTTCTTGAACTGCTAACTGATCAGCTTCTTGGAAAATTTGTAAATTCAAATGTTACATCGGCTATACAGCTAATGAACAGAATGATAGTTTCTTTTTATTCACTTCATTTCCACTAAGTCAAAGTATATGATATTTTGCTCATATAATTATTTATTTATTTATATTTTTTTGTACAGCATAAAAGTCTTTATTTGCATAAAGTAGTGTAGAATCGAAATTTGGTTCAATATAGGCTTCAGTTCAAATGGATCAAATTAATCATGCTGGATAGGTAATCCACCTGTTTTAATTGAAGCAAACTAAATCATGCAACTCTTGCTGGCTGGTCGATCATTGTTCCAGTTGATCCATGTAGTTGATCCAAGCTCGCTAAAACTTACTTTTCTTTTATTTATTTATTTTTCTTTCTGGTGAACTTTGGTAGTTTTAAAAGCTTCTAGAGTTGAAATAAATTATAACTATATTTTACATATTAATATTTTGGTGTTAGAGTTTTATTCTCTTAATCTTAAGAGAGAAAAGAGATATATCTTTTAACTTATCAAAAAAAGAAGAAGAGATATATCTTTAAATCTTTTATTTCCACTTATTTCTTTTCACATGGGGATTCTTTCAAGGAAGTGGTTGGGCCTTTGAGGCGATTTGTAGAGCTACTATGTCGACTTCAAATCTGTTTGTGTTTTCATGTTTTCTTATATTTATTAGTTGAGGGAATTCTCATTATGTCTATTTTTTTTGGGCATGGGCTTTAGTAGATGGTGCGTAGACGTCTCGATTTTTGGGACGTGATTAAATAATATAATATAAACAAAAACATTATAAAATAAATTAAGACCTCATAATGTTGAAAAAAAACTATATTCATATTACATATGCAACCCTTCAAATGATAAAATATTGAAATTGAGTAATATTATCTTATAACTCTCAAGAAACACGCCTCAAGTGAGTTTAGGAACTTCTTCATTACATCTGACTTTGGCTAGATGACCCAGACCTGTAAATTGTTGGCTTCATTACGTCTGACAAGCTCCTCAAAAGGATAGCCTCGTAATAATTGCATGACTTCGCATATCACTTTATTTAACTCTAATAATACTTCAATAAACCATGCATTAAAGCACACTAATCATTGCTAGCCATTCCCACTTCATGTTGGTACTTACACTCAATTTTGTATATATATTTATATATATCTAAATACACATTTATATTAATAATAGTTATATATTTTTACTTCTAATATATCTATTTTTAAAAAATACAGGTTCTCACAATAGATCTAATTTAATTTGATCAGGTCACCATATGGTTTCTTTAGAATATAGTCTTAATGGTCAAAATCTCCTAGTAGTAGTAGTAGGACTGCAGAAGGCTATGAATATTTGTGTGATTTCTCTACTTTAGTGGAATTAAAATGGTGAGAATGTGAGAATCTGTTATTTTCTATTTTCAACTTTATCTTAAGGGTTTAGTGCAAAGGAATTCTTCTTGAGGGTTCTAGAAATATTTGCTGTCTAATATTTCTAGCAACTATACAACTTATGGTTAATGCAGTCTGAGGCTGCACTATCCAGAGTGCAATAGTTCTGTTCTACGTCAACATTGTTTCATGTTTTGCACTGGTTATTAGCCAGAAAATACGCTCTCTCTCTCCACACACACACACACACACACACACATATATAGGATAAGCATTCAAAATCCTAAAATTTAATATAAAGTTGTTTTACACTTTTTTTTTTTTTTTTTTTTGAAGTTTCTATTAGTTTGGAATTTTAATAAAATTTTAATTGTTTTGGACGTAGAAATTGGAATGTCCTGGTAAACGCCGCCGCATCACTCAAGGTATGTATGACTGACATGTATTTAATTTCTATTCAACAATGGCAAAAAGTTTTCCTTATCTAATACATATAGTTTTTGTGCAACTCTTTTCCAAGATATTTACCATAGTTTGATATGGTTTACAACCAAGTATGAATATCATTATTACTTGATTTTGGAATCTATTTTATTTTTGAGAATTAAATTTGATATATTGTGTTTTTTTCCATTTTCTTCATAATTATGAATATCTTGCATGTGAACCTCTTACATATAGCATCATTCTACAGGCCTCTTAAGTTGATAAGAACATTAACTTTAACTCTCAGCATCAGATGGACAGGTATTGTGAGATATGTCGTTGAAACACATCTGCTCAATGATTCTTGTCTCTTAGCCTTTTTGTTTTTATGACATTGTCCGGCCAATTTAGGGGAATGTTTATCGAAACAAAATAGACGGTGGAAGTCCATCTAGTTTATTTATTGGGGACCTTTTATCTTAATTGATCCTACTTTATGTAGGGATCCACATGTACAACCTTTGTTTAGAGGCTGACACATGTAAAATGTACAATAATGCAACATTAAATAGTGGTTGTGTCTTTCTTATTGCTATATTTGGAATTGAGAAGAGACTAATGGGCCTATAAAACTATATATGTTAGTTGTCTTTCATATTTTCTTGTTATTTCCATCTTATTATTTCCAGTGAAATGCACTTAAGGGCCGTCACTGTCTTTGTAAATGTGCAATTCTCTGTGGCTTCTGAAGAGCCTTAGTTTTTATTCATTGTATGGCTTTAATATAATGTTGTTAGTTCTTGTTCTTTTTTTACTTGGAAGATTTTGGAAAATGTGTTCATTGCACAAATATTATATAACTTTGCTTTATTTTTGAATTGCATCATTGTTAATCTTGATACGAAGCTGCAGTGAATTTCCTCAAAAATAGTTAGGGCAAGTGGGCAACGATTCGGCAGTTTTCTGATAAAACTGAGTTAATTTCCAGTAAACATTAAGCATTTTTAGGCTTTATTCTATAATTTATTATATATTCGACTTTAAATCCATCAGTAAGCCAAAGTGTGAAGATATATTGTTGTACTAATTCTTATGGTATGCATAGCTTAGTTTTACATTTTCTAGTCACACAATTATTATTATTACTACATTTCATTATTGCAATACTGTTTGGTCAAATAAATGTCTCTTTTGTGAGTCACAGTTCTCCAAAAGAGACATTCTTTTGGAACAGAGGGAGTAATAATTTCCTAAGTTACTAACCCTAAATTCATTCATTTCTCGCGCAGCCTCAAGTCCTCCTCTTCCTCCTCCTCCTCCTCCTCCTCCTCCTCCTCGATCACCCTTCACCCTTTGGTCACCATCGATCGTCCTTGGCCTACTTTACATCACTACGTCTCTCAGTGTCGCTTTCTTTCTCTGTCACTCAGTCATCTACAGAATATAAATCAGATCTCACATCTACAGAAACCAGGTCTGAATTTCTTCCGTTTATGGTCGTTATGTACCTGTTGGGATTTCTAGAATTATAAAAGGAGGAATTTCGAGATACTTCTCTCTCTCACTCACCTCATCTACAGAATATAAATCAGATCTCACATCTAAAGAAACCAGGTCTCAATGGCTTACGTTTATGGTTGTTGTGTACCTGCTGAAATTCCTAGAATTATAAGAGTAGGAATTTCGAGATACTTTGGGGATGCAGCCATTTTTGCATTGGGTTTTGTGCTTCTGTCCGTTAAGTCCTTTGACTTCTTTCTGTTTGTATATTTTAATTGGTTGATTTAATGTGTTTATTTGTAATCATCTGAGCCTGGTGTTTGGAGTTTGTTTGATTATTTTGGTGGCTTAATAAAATTTGATTTAGGAAAAAAGAGAAACCATATCTCAAATCTTGGTGAGTCACTCTCAGTTTTCGGTTTGGTTCGGTTCCATTGGTTCTCCTGGTTCGGTGTGATTCCAGTTTTTGTGGTCCCGTTAGGACCAGTTTAGTTCCAAAATACTTCCAAACTAGTTCGAACTGAACTGTTTGCACCCCTACTTCTACGAGTTTGATGATTTTTTTTCTCTACTTTGAAGCAAGTTTACAGAAGGAACAACAATTCTTTTGTCCATTTGTGGAGTACTTAATGTCTGAGGTTTCAGTCAATGCCACTCAGTGGCTGGTCAACTCATTATTTTACATTGACACCCCTGCCATTAAAAATGTCATAAATGCCCCTGAATATTTGATTTAATTTTATTCAGAAAATATCATTAATGTTAATTGATAAAAATATCCCTCACAGTACCCCACGTGACCAAAAATACAGACTCGCACAGTTTCTGGTCATATCCCTCTTAACATTTTGCTTCCAAATCTTCAACACCGCCACTACACCAACGCCAACACCCCCAAACCTTAACCATCCATAGAACTCGTCCTGAACAGATCTAAACGGACAACCACTTCCACACCGGCAGCCATCACCACGCGTTTCCACAAGCTCTCCATTAGATTGGACCAAACTCACCGGCGAAGATCGTGACGCCGGCAAGCTCTTCACCTCCCACGACCTCATCCTCCAGTGACAGCCAACACTCTGAATCCACCATAGCCATCGAAAAATAATGAAGACACCCAATCCACGCGCTACAACATCACTGGAATCTCCCATGCACCGACAACTGCTCACAGACATGTCATATCTCCATCCGGAGAACACCATACCACCGTTGCATCGACTGACGACCCTCCTTTACTCCTCTCACTTCGTTGGCTCCACTCCCGCGAGTCCTCCTTCAGACCCATGCCATCGCTACACACACACACACACAACACCACAACCGTCGCCGTACTCACCGCATCACCACAATCACCGCCACACCCACACACAGACACACAACATAGCACCCCAAATGCCGCCACCACCACACACACATGCACACCGTCACACACACACACACATCTCCACAACCACCGCCACACACACATACCGGACTTGCTGCACCATAACCACCGCCACACCAAACACGCCTATTGACTTGCCCGATTCGAACCGGAGAGTTCGTTATCGCCGATCTCCGAGAACACCATACCACCGTTGCATCGACCGACGACCCTCCTTTACTCCTCTCACTTCGTTGGCTCCACTCCCGCGAGTCCTCCTTTAGACCCATGCCATCGCCACACACACACACACACAACACCACAACCGTCACCGTACTCGCCGCATCACAACTAGCACCACAATCACTGCCACACCCACACACAGACACACAACATAGCACCCCAAATGCCGCCACCGCCACACACACATGCACACCGTCACACACACACACATCTCCACAACCACCGCCACACACACATGCCGGACTTGCTGCACCACAACCATCGCCACACCAAACACGCCTATTGACTTGCCCGATTCGAACCGGAGAGTTCGTTATCGCCGATCTCCGAGCATTCAATCCTTCAACGGCTATGATCTAATCTCGCGGCGTGACTGTCATCGAACGGCATTCAATCCTTCAACAGCTCCGATCTGATCTCGCGGCGTGCTTTGGTGACCGAGGATGTGGTTGAGGAAATGGAGCGGCGGGTGCAGAGAGAGAAGGGGTGGGGATCTGGGTTTGGTATTTCAGAATACTGTAAAATGAAAGGTATTTTAGTCCTACAAAATTTCGCTTACAGGGTTATATTAGTAATTTACACTTTTTATCTATTTATTGACCAATTCAAAGATTAAAATAGTCATTTTCTCCAGTAGAGGGGTTGTGTATGAATACTTTTGAAACCTCAGGGGTAGCAATGTAAACTAGTGCGTTAACCGGCCGCTGAGTGGTGTTGACCCAAACCTCGGGGGTACGAGTTCAAATTACCCAACAACAAAACTGTTTGCACTATTCACTGAGCAAAATAAACAAATAAACAATTAAGAAATTGACTTTATATGCTCTCCCCTGCTTCTTCGTTTACTGGTCTTCATTTCAAACAGTTGCATGTGCTGGTTCAAGAAGTCATATTTAGAAATTTTAGAACCTTATTTGTTGTTTTATCGGGCTTGCTCAAGACAATGGAACAATATCTGAAGACATTTGGAGGAACGCTATTTCTGCAATTGAAACTGGAATTTTTTCACTTGTGCGCAGGACATATGGTTCAGAACCATTGAGTGCGGCAGTTGGATATTGTTGTTTGGTTGGTGTCATCTTTAAAGGAACTCTATACGTTGCCAAATTGGGTGATTCTAGAGCTCTATTTGGTTATTTAGGTAGATCGTCTAAACAAGGTGCAAGGGGTGGGAATGAGTGGGTTGAATGCAAATGGGTCAAAATAGGTTTTGAAACGGGCATTTCTGATAGAAGTGTATCACTTTACATGCTCGTGAATACCATGAGGTTTTTAGTTGAATGTAAGGACTATATCAACAAAAGTGGCACTCTAGCTTAGGGGGGGTTTTAGGTCTTTTTATTATTATTGTTATTATTATTATTATTATTATTATTATTTTGTAGGGAGATTATTTGCCAAAAATTATAAGTGGATGAAGGCGTTATTCAATTTGCCTTTATTTATTTATTATTATTTATTCATCTTTACTTGCCACCAATGTTACATGGTTTTTCAAAATAGGTGAAGTAGCCATGTCAGACCCACAATACTTGGCTATGGTTATGCAAATGCGTCCATTACTTTTGGTTGGATACGCACTTCAATACATATCCAATGATATAATTTTATTATATAATTGCTTTACAACGAATGAAATGTCTGTATGAAAATAATAATAATCTAGTAGCTGTTTGAAATTTTGAATTCTATGTACATACCCACACCCGACAAACATAGTTGAACTGGGTAACATAACTTACCATTGATATAATGTACCAATTCTTATTAAGTGGTTAGGCATTCTTATTATCTTTCGGAAAATGAGTTATATGGCCAATAATAAGTAGAATAAGGAGACGATCAGTTTCTTCATGGCTATGGTATCTTTTTTACTCATATCTTGTGTTTGTCCATGACAGGAAATCTTGCTTCTTCTGGAGTTGTGGCTTCTAGCTCTACTTCAGTTGCAGGTTGTAGCAGCAGCATTCCTACTAAATATGACTAGCCAGAAGGGTAAAAATATGGGACATTAGACATTGTTTTTATACTTGTTGATTGTGAGCTCTTTAAATGTAGAAAGTGGTTTGTGATATTTTAGTTCAGCACATGAAGTGTGCTTCATAGAAATGAATTATAAAAATTGCCTTTTAAAGAGTGTGTTTATCTATATGATTGGATGAGTAGTATTATTGGATGTTGTTTATAATGTGTTGGTTTGCTCCAAAATTACTTTATCAATGAGATGTTTAAGATGTATGCTGGATAACATCATTAGAACGGTAGTGGCTTCTTCTAGCAGACGCAGGTTAGTTCATCTACGAAGTTAGTTTCTTTCTCCACCAGCTTATGAACGCTGGGCCAATCCTGGTATTCTCCAGTTTTAGGCATGCTAATGTGTTTTTTCGTTTGTAGTTCTCTTAACCCAGGCCTCTAGTATTTTGATTTTTAAACTTGTGCTTCATAGTGTTCCATTAATGAGGCTTCAGGTTACTTCAGGTTACTTTACTGTCGGATATGTGGATATACAATGTCTGTCATGGATTTTAGAGAGAGGTTTTTGCATGTGAGAGGTTAGAGAGAGAAAATGGTGGCAGTTTAGATCTATAAAACATACTTTTTAAGCTTCGTATAAAAAAGTATTGAACAAAACGTACGTTTCAACTTGTCAATTTTTATGGGAATTTTATACGTACTTGTGAAGAAAGAATAGAAAATGAAAGGTAATTAGTTCTTTCCCCCATCATCGGAAATTATTTAATCATCCTTTGAACACCATACCAAGCGAAGATGCCCTTTGCCCATCTTTCAGTTGGAACAGTAGCTAGCAACTTTTAAGTATGAGCATTGTGCATGATCATAACTTAGAATTTAAGTCGGAAACTTTTTGTTGGTTCTGCAAGATTTTTAATAAAAATGATTATGTGGTTGACAAAATGGTAAAAATGATTCGTGGTTGACAAAATGGTTTTATTTGTTAGGATAAGAATTAGGGGTGCATAAAAATTGGGCGAATTTGAAAATTGAAACCGTATTGAATAAGATCGAGCAATTTGGTTTAGTTTATTAACGGTTTGGTTCGATCGCAGTTTCAAATTTTTTGTACTGTAAAAATATGGTTTGGTTATGTTTTGAGGTCCTTTAAAATTGAAACAGATCAAACCGAACTATTATATATATATATATATATATATATATATATATATATACATACATATAATATAATTTTACAATGATTGAATGTTGTTGGTTTTTTGAATTGTGTTTTTGTCGTTGAATTAGTAATTCAAAATGTATTAGGCTATTAGCAATTCAGGATATGTTCATTAATTAACTTAAGGTGATAGAAGAATGAATTAGAAATTCTTAATGTATTAGCAATTTCTAATGTATTAACTTATGCTCTAGAAGTGAATTAATTAGTATTTATGAATGTGCTGATTAACTTGGTTTATTATTGTGCATTTGAATTTTAAAATATGAATATTTCTGTAATAATAATAATAATAATAAAAAAAAACACGGAACCTTGGAACCGTGTCAAATGGTTTGGTTCGATTCCTTTAATCAAATGGTTCTGTTTGGTTCGATTCTTTTAGTTAAATGGTTCTGTTTGGTTTTAGATTTTCTGAAACTTTTAGGAACGATTTGGTTTTAAAAAAAATTCAAATCAGTCCAAATCGAACCATGGGCACCCCTAGACTATGGTCCGGATGAACAAATGAAAAATAAAGTTATGTTTATTGAAAAATAAATAAATAAAATGAAATGCATAAAAAAAGCTGTCACTTGCTCTGTGCTCCTTGCACATCAACTACAACTCTAACAAACAATGCAATAATTTCAATATTTAAATGAAAAATACAACAATACAAATTAGTAGATTCATAAAAGAATTGCACTCGAGAACAAAAATTAATAATGATACAAAAGATTAAACTGAACTTGAACACAATAAATAATATAATTATAATCATATAAATAAAAGTAAAAAATTAAATGAAATCGAATACTTCTCAGTACGCTAACTGTGTCCCTTTGAAACACGTTCGAAGGAAGACGGCCTTCCAAACACGTTAGAAAGAATACAACTAGTTTCGCATAAAATCGATATGATGCAGATAAGAGATTAGTGTATAAATGTGATGAAGACAATGGAGCTCACTGGAGAGGCGCTGATTGAAGGGAATCAAGGGCCATGACTTCTTTGGGGGAGTTGATTGGTATCTTTTAAGGGGAAGGAGATGAATGGTGCAACGAGACGATTGAGAGAAATTTTGGGGGTAATTTTGTTTTCCTTTTTATTTTAATTTTTTAGCCCAACAATTGTAAAACAAGGTAGATAAATAAATATCTTTCTTATCTCCATTCCTTCATTACCCAAATAAAACAAGGTACATAAATAAATCTCTTTTGATTCTTCCACATGGAGCGATTTTTTTCTTCTAAGAAAAAGAAAATCACAATCATTTTGTAATGACGTGTACTTAGCAACAAATAATAATTAATAATTATGTGCATAACATGTGCTATTTTCACGCGCACACACACGCGCGTACACACACAAAATGTCTCAATATATTTGATTATTAAACACTCTTAATTGATTGATTTATTTTATTTTTTTTTGTCACAAGCAAGTAAACATATTTATTGATTAGAATAAAAAATTACATCCAAACGAGCTTTATGTAAAACAAACTCTGTGAAACTATCATCCCATAAACATTTACTTTTCTCTTTTAAAGCATAAGCAGTAACTGCATGGATAATCTCATTCCTTACTTTAGGCGTATACACCAAATCAAAAGCAGGGTGATAATGAAGTCATTCACAGATGTCTTCTACTAGAGGGCTAAGTAAAAGAGATGAAGACTATCGCAGTCTTAACAATGACTTCTATATCAATTTCAAACACAATACGACTGTAGCCCTAACGAATAACTTGGTCCATAACTTTTCGAAGCACCAAACCTTCAGTCACTAACGGATTTGAAACTCTTTGTAAAAAAAAAGATGCCAATCGCAACACCTTCCCCCTATGATCATGCATAACCATTCCACCTCTTCCTCACATAATACTTTGCAAAATGATGCACCAGTATTAACTTTAATCACGTCCATTGGAGGAGCTTGCCACCTAACAGGATTCCCATACTTGTTTTGCCCTGAACAGTGTGATCTCATAGTAGCAAAAGGAGTAACAGTGCAATTTAAAAATTCAAAACAATGAGCTTCTCCAATTCTAACTATCTCTATTGCATCTCACCATTTTTGCTCAAACACCCAAGCATTACGCCCCTTCCAAATCTGTCAACAAAGAAAAAAACCATACTCTTCATCGAGTGCTCCTCACTTAATTGATTGATCTAACGGTTTTAGAATTATGTATATTTGCATTCCATTTTCAATTCTTTTTTTAGATTACTTAAGTTTGTTTGTTTACTAAACCAATCCAACTCAAAGGAAATCATTAGACTCCTTTGTTTAATGAGCCAAGCTCAAACATTGACATACTTGGCTCCTTTGTTATTGATCATGTTTGGCCCAACTAAACATGTTTATATTTTTAAGTGCTTTTTTGAGCCTGTAAACACTATTTGCGTGCATATATATATATTATCTAAAGGTATGAAGAGAGGTGATATGTTTGGCCCAACTAACATACAAAAAGTCCAATTACATGTTTAATCATCTTAAGCTTTTAGGCCCAACCCAATCTAAGTAATATAACTACTCCTTTCCCCAACCCAATAGTTAAAGCCCTTCGTACACATTATCCTAATCTCACTTAGGTCTGCAAATGAATCGAGTTACTTATGAACAACTCAGTCTTGGCTCTTTAAAAGCTTGATTCAGACTCGTTCATTTAGTAAACAAGTCGAGTTTGAGTTCAATTTCTAGTCTCGTTTAGTAAACGAGCCGAGCTTAATCAGCACTGAGCTCGGCTCGTGAACAAGCTCGTTAAATTTTAAAAGTCTATTTTTATTTAGCATCTACATTAAAAAGGCTCAGCCCATATAAATACCATTTTGGCCCAACTCCAACTCCCATCAATTCATTAATAAGGCCCAATAATTATATAATTCATTAGCTCATCATCCAAATCAGATTTAATCTCAGCCACTAAACTTCAATTCATCTCAGCCGTTGGTTCTCTAAAAAGATAAGAATAAACCTAGACATATATATGTCTACAGCCGCCAGACTTCTTTTCAGACTTCAACTGCTTCGCATGATGTGGCCGGCAGCCATCCTCATGCGACAAGACTCTCTCCCAAATAGATCGAGTTGATTATGCTAGAGAGTTGATAAAATATTGTAAGCTTTGATTTCATCTTGAATACATCTTTTCTATTTTTTCTTCTTCTTTCTAGTTGGAGATGGAGATCGGCTGAACTTCTTTCTTGTCGGAGATGATCGGATTTCATGGAAGAAATCATGGTGATTTCTTGAATCGGTAGTTGCTGTATTATGTAATCGAGCCCGAGCCCGTCAAATTTCTGCCGAGCCCGAGCTTGTCAAATCTCTGCCGAGCCCGAGCTTGGCTAGGCGAAGCTCGCCCGATCCCGAGCCGAGCCTGAGCACACCACTCTGAAGTTGACGAGACGAGCCCGAGCAAGCCAAAGCTCTGTTCGGCTCGGTTCATTTGCAGCACTTGGTCACTACCAACGAAACCTAGCTGGTCCTCACCACTCTCATTTCAAGTCTAAACCTGACTTCTCTATCATTTTTCCGGCATAAGTCATCAAAATCGTGGTGATATAGTGAAAATGGAAATCGACTAGCAATAAGGTGTGTGTACTCTACATATATAATGATTCATATTACCCTCTTCACACTTATTGGGACTTCATTTTATAAATTGTGATCTGTAATATAGGACTTGCAGCTCTGCCGAGTTCATCATTTACTTATTGTATTTTTTCATTATTATTTTTTATTTATTTTGCTGCATAATCGTGTTCATTTCCTCAATTTATTTATTTATATTTAGTTTGTTTATTTATTTGTTGTGATTTTGGTATGTGTTCTTCATATTTTATCTGGGTTCCCTCTCAGAACTTTGGTTGTTGCTTCATATTTTTGGTATTTGGTTGTGATATATGATGCAGCTTCTTTATTTATCTTTTGACGTTGGATTTGAATTATATATGTATATATACTTCCATGGGCTGTGAATACAGATTGATTAGAGATATTTCAGGTTTTCGGTGAGGATGCACATTATAAATTGTGCTCTGCCTAGTTATTTATTTACTTATCTGTATTTATTCATTATTTTATATTTTGCATTGAATAATCGTGTTCATTTTCTGTACTATATATATTTTTTTAATTTTTAGTTTATTTATTTATTTGTTGTGATACTGTTTAATTATGATCCAGCTTCTTTATTTATCTTTTGATGTTGGATTTGAATTATATATATATATATATATATATATATATATATATATCAAGGGCTATGAATACACATTGATTAGAGATATTTCAGGTTTTCGGTGAGGATACAAAGTTGAAATTCCAATTGAAGGCGGCACATCACCAACTGGATCAATTGATATAATTTGTAAAAAAGAACCAAAGTTGAATGTTAAGCAAACCGGAGACGACCCAAAAGTACATCCCAAGAATGAAGATATAATTCCAAGGTATTATATATTTAATTATATCAAAATCGAACAATTAAGATTCATAGCTTGTATACACAATAACACTTTTATCTTGAACCCATATAATAAGGCGTTGGAATCAAGCTTAATTAACTTCGTTTCTATGTGGAATTCATGCTCTTCCAAAACCTTTTCTATTGGCTTTTGGTTTAAGTTTTCTAGTTGATATTAATAATGTCTTATTCTCATCTTAGGGTTCAACAACACCAACTCCGTGATGGAAGCCTACCAATTTTGATCTTTCATTAGCTTATCTTTCCCACCGAAGTTTTTTTTGCGACGTATTTCTGTTCAAGTAGAATTGGTAGAATTTCGCATCGTCTTCAACATCTTCATAAAAAAAGCATCAACATCAAAATCTTCATTCACCCCACCATCCACATCAACATCTTCTTCATCCAAAAAAGCATCAACTTCAACATCTTCATTCAAAAACAATCGACATGATAATCACATCATTTCCCTTCAAATTCACAAATCGCAGTGCATCCATGTCACATACCCCACTTATCATCCCAGCATTCCTCAACCGTTGAGTCAAAGCAATAACCTTGAGGCCTCTATGGTTCATAAACCGTGTCATCTGTGACGGAATATTTTTTTTGCCACATCTTTCTGTTTTCGAGTAGTCCGGAGACGGATCAGTCAACATTATTTTTTGTTGATGGCTACAATCATGGAACAATAGCCATTGATATGGTGAAACAACCCGCTGTCTCTTGAACTTCTCCTTCAATCTATGGAACTGGAAGATTAATGAATTGAACCCCATTGTAAAGCATACCCTAACACCGGAAACCTCAATAGCTACTAGTCCATTTGTAGCCATCAACAAAAATATCTATTGAGATTTCCAGTGTTAGATTACTCCTTTACAATGGAGTTGAATTCATTAATTTTCCAGAACTTCCAGATTGAAGGAGAAGTTCTAGAGACAGCGGGCTGTTTCACCATATCAATGCCCTACTAGTCCATGATTGTAGCCATCAACAAAAAACCGAGCTTATGTTCATTCGTTTTTGGATAGACCATTTAGATTTTGAGATAAGTATGGCTACAGCGGTTGAGGAATGCTGGGATGATAAGTGGTGTATGTGACATGGATGCACTGCGGTTTGTGATTTTGGAGGGAAATGATGTGATTATCATGTCTACAACATTACGTTTTTGAATGAAGATTTTGATGTTGATGCTTTTTTGGATGAAGAAGATGTTTATGTGGATGGTGGGGTGAATGAAGATTTTGATGTTGATGCTTTTTTTTTTTTGATGAAGACGATGCGAAATTCTTTGTTGAGTTTGGTGCAACTTCGTATTTCCGGCCAGAGGATGAGGTATAAACACCATTTTTTTACTGACACACATATATTCATCGCATCATAGCATCCCTTACTTGTTTGCATATACATGTTTACCATAAACATTATATAGATTACATGATAGACTACTACTTTATTGTCAAATAGGAAAATGTTGCATAGGAAGGAATTATTTACTCGATTGTACATTAGTATTTTTGGTTATAAACAAAAACAAAAAAGGGAAAAAAAGAAGAGAACAAATCTTCCAATATTGTCAAAACATAAATTATCATGTATAACCTGAGTAATCTCCGAACAATGAATGTTTCATCTAATGAACAAAGTGATTCAATTTTATTATTATTACTTTTTACTTTTTTTTCATACTCCTCATTTGATTTTCATTAAATTGTAGAAGGATTAATGTACCTACTAATCTTGATGCAACAAAGTTTTGGAACTGCATACTTACTAGCTTAGGGTATACGGTTAATGCTCAAAATGATGAGCTTCTTTTTATTCACTTCATTTTCACTAAAGCAAAGTATCTAATATTTTGCTCATATAATAATACCTTTGTACATTAGTAATTTTTGTTATAAAAAAAAAAAAAAAAAAGGAAACAAAGAAAAGAACAAATCAAAGTGTCTAATATTTTTCTCGCATAAATATTTATTTTTAATTTTTTGTACTAAAAGTCTCTCTATGCATAAAGTACTGTAGAATCAAAATTTTGTTCAATTTGGGCTTTTGGTTGAAATGGATCAAATTAATCATGCAGGATAGGCAATCCACCTGTTCTAATTTAAGCTTAATCAAACTAAATCATGCAACTCTTGCTGGCTGGTCGATCCTTGTTCCAGTTGACCCATCTAGTTGATCCAAGCTTTTTTAAACTTACTTTTTCTTTTATTATTTTAATTTTTTTCCTTTCTTGTGAACTCTGGTAGTTTTAAAAGCTTTTACGTATTAATATTTGGTGTTGAGTTTTCTGAAAAGAGATATTTTAAAATCTTTTATTTCCACTTAATTTTTTTTTAAGAAGGGGATTCTTTCAAATAAATGGATGGGCCTCTGAGGCGAGTTGTAGAGTTACTGTGTCGACTTTAAATCTATTTGCCTTCTCATGTTTTCTTATATTTATGCCTCTTTTTTGTTTGGCATGGGCTTTAGTAGATGGTGCATAGGCGTCCTGATTTTTGGGACACGATTAAATAAAATAAAAGAAAGAAAACATTATAAAATAAATTAAAACCGCATAACGTTGAAAAGAAACTATATTCATATTTCTTACTTAACCCTTTAAATGACACAATATTGAAATTGAATATTGTTGTCTTAAAACTCTTAAAAAACACACCTCAAGTGAGTTAGGAACAACTTCATTACATCCGACTTTGGCCGGACCTGTAAATTGTTGGCTTCAGTACATCCGACAAGCAACTCAAGAGGAGTGTCTCGTAATAATTTCCATATTACCTTATTTAACTCACAATAACACCTAAATAAACCACGCATTAAAGCACACTTATCATTGCTAGCCATTCCTTCTCCACATTGGTACTTACACTCAATCATATATATGCATCCATATATATATATATATGCATCTATATACACATTTATATTAATAATAACTATATATTTTTACTTGTAATATTTCAAAAAAAAATACAGGTTCTCACAATAGATCTAATTTTATTTGATCAGGTCACTATATGGAATGGAATGTAGTCTTAATGGTCAAAAACTCCTAGTAGTAGGACTACAGCAGGCTATGAATATTTGCGTGATAACTTTAGTTGAATTAAGATTGTGAGAATCCGTTATTTTCTATTTTCAACTTTATCTTAAAGGTTGAGTTTAAAGAAATTAGTCCTAGATTCTCTAGAAAATGTCTAATATTTATAGCAACTATACAACTTATGGTTAATTCAGTCTGAGGCTGCACTATCCAGAGTGTAATACCTTTGCACTCAACCCTTACGTTCTACGTCAACATTGTTTCATGTTTTGCACTGGTTTGTAGCCAGCAAATAGTCTCTCTCTATATATATAGACTGTTTTACACTTTTTATTTTAAAGTTTCTGTCAGTTCAGAATTTCAGTAAAATTTTAATTATTTGGGATGTAGAGATTGGAATGCCCTCCTATTGGTAGGACAGTAGCCAGCTGCCGCATCAATCCAGGTTTGTGTCACCGAGATAGATTTATTTAATTTCTATTCGACAGTGGGGGAGAAGTTATCTTTATGTAATTCATATAGTTTTTGTGGACCTATTTTCCAAGATATCTACCATTGGTTGATAGATTTTATATCAATCTTGGACACTAAATCTCTCTCTATATATATAGATTGTCAGTTAAGAAAGGAGAGTAACTTGTGATGGTTGGGGGTATGAAGAAGTAGTAGTGGCTGGCCTCTTTGAATTGATAACTTTATGATTATGAAGATCACTCACTCTATGCATCCACTCTCTTGAGCAATGTAGAACCTTTTTGGATTTTTGGAAAATATTTTTGAAAAGAAAAAAAACTGGAAAAAATATATATATTAGACTGTCCGAGTTAGGGAGCAGGTACTGGTACTGGCAGAGGGTCACAACACAGGCAGTCACAGTCGGCTACAGTTCAGTTAGGGTTCAGAATAAGTTTACTTTTGCATCTACTTCAACATTACTCTCCTCTCCTCATGTTTTTTTCATTATTTTATTCTCTTTTTATGTGCTGTGGGGAAGGTATAAGATTTGTGAGGAGCCATGACAAATATTGTAACAGTACTCAAGAAGAAATGAGGAGGATCCTGAAGATTGATTTCGATGTTTGATGGATGCTTTGCTTAACTGAATGTTATGTCCCGTATTCTAACAGTTCTGTTGTACAACCTTTAAAAATTATTGTAGGTAAAATATAAATAAAAATGTGCACGATTTCAAGTTCCTATAGCATGGTCATTTTTATCATACCCATTTGTAACAAATGCAACAAGTCAACGGCTAATCATTAATCAGAATTTTCAACAATAAGGAGAATAATATATATATGTATGTACAAAGTTAATTGTTCTCAAGTAATTCAAAACTACTAATGCAACACTCTGAGACAATAGTCTAATTAAAAACAAGTAAAGCAAAATAACGTTCTTGACATTTCAAGTATTAAGCTGAAATTCTCACGGCTCCGATGCAAATAGCATGAAGGGAAAAAATTAGAAAAATTATCACTAATTTTAATTTTTTTAAATAATTAAAATTAAATTTTTTTTACGGTAAATAGGTATTAGTTACAAAATATTGAAAGTAGAGGGAAATTTTGTATGTAAGTGAAAAAATGAAAGTTCAGTATTAGTGGAATCTGTACTCTTTTTTATTTTATTTATTTTTTTATTATTTTTTTATTTTGGCAAATAAACATACACACCACTTATCCCGTGGAAAATTGGTTTTTTTAGTATGATTTGCTTACCATAAAAAAAAAATTCATGAAAATGTCATTTTAAAGATTTGATTTGTGGTATAAAAGGATAAAATTTCCATTTTTATATAAAATATTTGAATAATAAAATTAAATTGCGTTTCATGGGTCCTTCTATACCCAATTGTATAGTCAATTGTTGATTTCTTATTTTTAAGGTTTAATTGACCCATAATGAGGTCCATGAATAAAATTTATACAAGTTAGAGAAATTTTATATTTCAATGATTTTGTAAGTAAATGAATTTGTGTATTTCTTGCCTTTGAATTTTTTTTATTTTTTGAGTATAATGCAATCAATAATTAAAGAATTAATCAGTAATAATATGTGTAAAAAATGATAATTTTTTTATTTTATTTTATTCAGACCCTACAAACTAATATTTATTTAATTTCCATATCTCATAGAAAACAATATAAGGAAATGAGTCCTCGTTTTTTGGAATCCAATTAAAAGAATGATGATGTTGTCCTTGGCTTGCAAAATTATTTCGTTTGCAATGGTTTGAAACCCAATTGAAAAATAATGAAGTCGTTGGTACATAGTTGTTTTTATTTTTTGTATTTTTTATTTTTTTGACACCAACAAAACAAACCTCATTAGACTTCATTATACAATTAGGAAGAAGAACCACGGGCCAAATGCTCCAAGAGCCTTCTTGCTTAATAAATGAGTTACACAATTTCCTGATCGAGAAACTCAAGCAAGAGACGAGTCCAAACACTCTCTAAGAAGAAGATGAGCATCATTGAAAACAACCAACTGGGCAGCTTCAGAGACCTGCAACCTCATTACCGACGGCAATCTCCTTCGATAATCACATTATGGTAACCCTAGCTTTTGAGATCCAATAATGCAACCCTTAAGATAAGGCTCGCTGCAAGAGAAGGGCTACAAATATTTTTAAAAAAAACCAAAGCCACCTTAATCGGTAGGCCTAAATGGTTTCTAAGGATCATGCCACCCCCACAAAAACATCTAGATCGGTTGAATGAAACATCAAAATTCAGTTTCAGGTGACCATTATTTGGAACACACTACCGCCCCGGGGGAAGAAAAAAAGGAGAGGGAGCAGCTTGTTTTGGCGAGACACCTCTAAGAATTCTTGAAAAACATTGAAAGCTTGCCGGGAAGCTTCAAAAGGATCCCATCTTTTGCAATTAAACACAGGGCCATTCCAACATTTTCAAATGGTCCAACAAAAAAACGCCGCCAAGCTAGAACAATCCGTCGGAGCAGTAAACTTCAACCAACTGTCACTCAATTAAGCCCAACGCTCTAGCCAAAACGAAGGTTCCACCCCACTAAAATCCAATCTGAGGGGGTTAAGTTTCCATACTTAGCAAGCAAAAGGGCAAGTGCATAGGAGATGATCAATGGTCTCAACGATCGACTCACAAACCGAAAAGCCTGAGATCTCGGACGCCCCCACAATATGAAGAAGATGATTCACATGAAGTCTATAATGAAGGCTTTGCCACAAAAAAAAGGATAATTTTTCGTTGAGCCTTAATTTTCCAAGCACTTTTTCACAAAACCCCTATAACAAAAAATGAAATTGTTGTTGACACAAAGAGTTGTTAATTTGCATTTGTTTGAAAATAATAAAAATAATAATAATAATTGATGGGTAAAATAAATTGACAATGCATAAAATTTTGCGATTAAAAAATGTATGTGAAAATTTTAAGGGATTTCTCTGTAAAGTTTAAAATGTAGGTAGTTTTACCCAAATAAAAACGTACTTAAGCTGGGAGTATTATAATATGCGGACAACCCCACACGCAAACTCTGTCGACAAGCGTACATCTCCTTCTTCTCTTCTCCACCTGCTGCAACAGCTTCACATTATTCAACCTCCAATTTTCACTCTCCGTAAGTTCCCCTCTCCCTCTCTCTCTCTACATATAAATACATATATAATATATGTATATATCATGTGTTTGTACATATTATTAAGCTAACATTTCAGAACGCGTTTTGTTTCCTTTCTATCAAGGTATGATTTAGGGTTTGATGAAAAAGGTTTTTGTTTTTGTTTAGAAATTTAGGGTTTCTATTAGGTTCACTTTTTGATTCCGTGGATGGCGATCGCGTTGTTCTGTTTTGATTTTAATTAATTTGCTGCCATTTTTATTTAATGCTTTGACTACTGAACACGCACACACATTTGCACACACATTTGCAATATCTGTAATTATACAATGTTACTAACCTTATGTTGTGTATGTAATGTGATTCTTTGTATAGTGAAGAAGGTGGTCCTCTTTGCGCGTGTCCCGTTCTCTTCTCCATTCCATATGGTATAAAGGTTCAATTGATCAAGATTCAAGAGTACCTCTGTTTATAGTCTGTAATGGAGGTTAAGCTTTGGAATGACAAACGCGAAAGAGAGATGTATGACAATTTTGCTGAGCTTTTCGCCATCATAAAAGCTACCGAGAAGCTTGAAAAGGCATACGTTCGTGATATTGTCTCGGCTGTGGAATATGAGGCTGAATGCCAAAAACTGATTGCCCACTTCAAAACCCTAGCTTCCACGCTCAAAGACACTGTTCCGGACATTGAGCGCTTTCATGACACCTACAAAATGAATTGCCAGGCGGCCCTAAATCGCCTTGTGACTTCGGGTGTGCCAGCTACAATTGAGCACAGGGCAGCGGCCACAATGTCAACCACTACTTCTGCGGCCACTGTGGCTGAATGTGTGCAGAACTTTATTACGTCTATGGACTCGTTGAAGCTGAACATGGTTGCTGTTGATCAGGTCCACCCGCTGCTTTCGGACCTGTTGACTTCGCTGAACAAGCTTACCATTTTGCCACCTGATTTTGAGGGGAAGACAAAGATGAAGGAATGGATTGCAAGGCTGTCGAAGATGGGAGCAGCAGATGAGTTGACCGAACAGCAGGCTCGGCAGCTCCACTTTGACCTCGAGTCATCTTATAACTCTTTCATGGCGGCATTGCCCACTGCAGGGACTTAACTAGTGGTAAGCTTGTAAATAAGGGAACAAATTGTTGTTTTGTGTAGGTGGCTCTTATATATAGTGTCTTGTGATTCCTACAGTCTGTAGATCCTTAGTGATTACATGGAAGGCATTATCAATGGTTTGTAATATTTCATAATGCTTCAGGAATGGCTGCTTGTTGATTTTTAATATATCTTTTACTGACTAGGAAAGATATTGTTTTCATATTATATCACGAAAATGGCTTCTTGATTTTTATCTTGGTTTTCCATATTATTTTTGGAAATGGTTGACAGTTGAAAACCATTGTATATCAATTTCAGCTTTTGTCTGTATGCCTTGTGGTTTCATGGTTGCTTGTTTATGATAATGTTCACTTCCTTGTTTCTTTCCTTTTCTTATGGAGAACATGGTAGCAGTTATTTTATTTTATTTTTTTTACTTCTAGTGAAGCTAAACACTCCATCATCCAGTTAAGAGAATAGTGATCAATGAAAGATTTTGACTAAATTCTTGGTGTTATGGTTGACATTTTTAAAGTCTTATCCTCACAGAGTTCTCATGTAAACACTAGTCCCTTAATTCTTGTTGCTTGTGTTGCTCTAAGGCCTAGATTTTGCTCATATAGTCTGGTTGTGTTGATATCCACTATGTTTAGTTTCAAGCCTGAAAAGCACATTGTTGTTTTACAATTTCTTTAGTAAGAAATTTCACAAAGTTTAATTGAATCTAGACATTTCACTTGATTTATTATAACATTTTGGCTGGAACTTTGTTCATCTCTAGTCTGAAATGTCTTTCTTGCTTGTTATCTTCCTTTAAAGATTCTTAAGCTGTATATGGTCGTGATTGGTGGAATTAAATCCTGTGAGTAACTTCCAGTACATGCTTTCTCTCTATATTGTCCATCCTCTTCAATTATTTCTACTCTTCTTCTTGGTTATCCCTTTCCTGGACACTTCCAAATCTCTATCTGAATTGCTTACCAGATGATAATCCCTTCACATGGGGCTCACCTCCGAAGAAACATCTAATCACTTTCCAGATGATACTTTCTTTCCAAGGGGCTTGCTTCTGAGGAAACATTTACTTTGTGAGGTGGGAGCCGTGTTATTGCCCACCAGATGTTATGGAGCTTTTTACCTTAATAAAACATTGGAGGAAAAGTTATCTCCTACAGGTTATTGCCGAACCACATTGAGTATTTAGAAATTGAAGGAAAAAGAGTGAGATGGGAACCCTGTTATTCTTTTCCCTTGTACAAACAATACTAGTGGGAGGGAGGAATGTAAGTGTGGAGATGGATAACATGGAGGGATGTCATATTCGTGGCTTAGTAAGCAGAATATTCTCATTAAGTTGCCTATATCAGAGCATGAATTATTAGTTGCTCTGCTCATTGAGGGATATCCTATTGTGGCTTGTTCTTTAGCTAAAAGGATGCATTAATTTGGATGTTTGTTGGATATAGTTGTAGGATGTGGTTTAGCCAAGGATGATGACCTCATTTAATATTTTGTTAGTGCTAGCAGAATAGGTGGTGGTTCAAAAAAATGTGAATTATTGTTTCTTCTCTCCCTAGTTCTGAACTAATGAATAGTTGGTTTTCTTGTAATGGAACTCTCTATTTATGTGCAATTCTACTCGTCTGCTTTTCAGTGGGGTGACTTTTGCTGAAGAACTTTTATCGGATGGAAGAAAACAAATCAATTGTGTACAGCAGAAATTTTCAACAAATGTTCTCCTCTGTCGTGATTTTATATGTTTGTTTTTTTTATGAATTTTCTTGGCAATTTCGTCTTTGTCTTTTCAACTCTCTTTTCTTCTCTTTCTTCCCTTTTCTGGTAAGTAAAAACAATACATTTTTCCAACTTTCTATTCATGCATATTAAATTTTTTTTCTGACAAGTTAAATAAAAAAAAAATTATTTCATATTATTCATGCATACTATAGTTAGTACCAGATGCCTCCTTCTCCTTCTCCTCGCCGTTGATAGTTTAGACCAAGACTGCCAAGCAGATCATCTTGCATTTAAGCCTACATGCATCTCATTGAGATCTTAAAAGTCAGTGAAGCACCATTAGAGGTACAATAGATCCAGCTTTCTCTTTATATATATTTTTTATCAGATGCTCAAGTAAATCACCTGGAAGGAACCTTTTTCATGTTCAATTTTCTAAAGCTTAGTTTAAGATTGCTGATTTTTTTCCAATTTATTGAAAGCTCATTCAGTTTGTTTTTGTATAAGATGCTTTAGACTCTTAAAGAGTTGTTTAGAACCCATTCCATGGATTAGTTTCTTACTTATTTTCTTTACAAAATGAAGCTTTTTCTAATTTATGAGTAATTTTACACTATGTTTGGAGTTTTGACATATTAGGGAAAAAAAAAAAATTTAAGAAAAAGAGAAGAACGAAAGAGAGCAAACATAGTGTTAATCTATGGAGGATGGATATTTTTAGATTCAAGCACTATGCACATTGGATGCAAGTAATTAACCCAAACTCGTGCATTATATGAACATCAAACATGGTTAGTAATAGAGATACAATATGCTAATATACTCTACCCAATATGATTGTATTAGTAAGGATATGAAAATATGTCAATTAATGGTCATCTGACAAGAAAAAGAAAAAGATATGTTTTAAAAAAAAATGAAAGTAGATTGTTTTAGCCTACGACGGAAGTAGTATTGGTTTGATTCAGTTGAGTTGGGTCGCCGCCACCGGCAGTAGCATTGTAACCAGGCTGCTGAGGCGGCAGTGGCTGCTTCTTGCTAGGCAGGTAACGCAAGAGTGGCAAAAGGATGGCGAGGAGGATGACGATAACAAGGACTACAGCTAGGCATCTCCACTTCCTGGAGCTCTTCTGAATTTCTCTGGCATCCTGAAGCTGCTCAGTCCCTCGTTTCACAAACGAGCTTGCGTGGGCTACATGACTTTCAATGTCATTCAGCTGGTGACCCTGTGCTTCTACCAAAGCAGCCATGTCCAAGAACACTTGATGAAGCTCAATCAGGTTCTTCTCTATCTCTTTTACTGCGTCGTGCCTTTCTTGAATTTCCGATATGGTGTCCATAATCTGACCTCTACCCTGATCCTGAATCGCCTTTTGCAGGAAGCTCTCACTTTCTCCACTTGCTATCAAGTTCTCAATGGTGTCTTCACTCGCTTTCTCTCCTGTAATTGTGAAGTATCTGCGTTCAACTGTTTCCTTGTATTCTTCTGTCATTTTGTTTCTTAACCCTTGAAACGCATCCATCATGTCCTTGAGTTTCTTTCCCAATCCACTAACCACTGAAACCCTGGTTCGGTCTGCAGATGACCCCGGTCCACACCCTGGGAGTTTCCGGTGTTCCACATTGGACTTCTCTAGATTTTCTAGCTTTGTCTTGATGATCTTGACCTGTTTTAACACCTGAGCAACATCTGAGTCCATCCGGCCTCGTAGTTCTTTCATGGTTTTGGCATTGTGGACGGTCTTGCTCTCTTCATTTGAGTCTTGTAATCTCTTGTACAGCTTTTCGACGTTCCTCATGTCCTCCCTGACCTTCTCAACGTCATCAAAGAAGCTATCAAGATTAGCAGCATGGTTTCCAGCTCCTCCTCCAGCCTCCACGTCGTCCATGTATGCCTGGCGTTTCAATTCCGTGTACCTCTTGAAGGAATTCGAGAACAAATCATTCATCTTGGCTGATGAATTTATTTGTACCGATCTTCTCTTTCAAAAGGGTTTCTTTCTCTCTGTGTAAAATTTAGTTTTAAAAAATTGATCAAAAAGCTAATGCTTAAACTAATATATAATCTCTTTGTTTTCTTCCTCTTACTAAGATTCTGAAGAAGGGTTTTCGGGGTTCACCCTCCTCTTCATCATCTACCGCCTGATGAGGAGGAGGTGGAGGAGAGATGATGAAAAATGAAACATAAACTCTCTTTCACCGGCAAATGGGGATTGGTTCAACTTCCTTAATCTTCAAGGTGGGAATGGGCTTATTAGAGAGGTGTGTTGAGGTAAAGGACAGCCAAACCAACCTAATAAGTTGTCTAAAATGGGGTTATTACCAAAGGACGCTCTTAATTTCCGACTTGCTATTCCATCATTAGAATTCACAACTAGTTTGTTGACTTCTCATCAATTCTCTAAGACTAGCCCATCTATTTTTATGTTATTACAGTTTGCTTTTAATTTTAGCCTAGGTAGAGCTCATCCTTTGAGAAATGCAAATGTAATCGGAGTCGGACTCCTCTAAAATTCACAAGGTTAAAAGTCGAAAAACAATAAATAAAACAAATGGAATGACAAATTACCTCTAAAATTGGAGTACAATTGTCTTTAATTGTAGAATGTGTTTTTCAAAAGTAATTGTATCATTTCATTTTTTTAAAAAATTATTTTCCTGAAAAACCAAGTGAAAACAAAGTAATGCAAATATCATCCTCCATGGGCTACCTCATTTATTATAACAGTTACTTACAAAGAGTTGCAACATTACCTAGCAACTACATGTCTGTTCACCAAAAAAATTTAAAAATTTTAATTTTGATTGTTGGACATGGTTATAGATGCACTTAACATGCATTCATCTACTATTTTTCTTTTCTTTTACCTGACATGAACCATTCATTAGTTCTGAACAAGTACGTATTTAGAATTTAAATCAAGTATTTCGAATAAAAAAAGAAAAAAAGAAAGACATAAAACAGTATCTAATTGAACAATTACTTCTAATTGAATTTCTTTAAGTTAAAAAGAGGGAATATAAATAACTTGTAGGCTCGTAGCCATTCAATCAACACGATTAATCAACATGAGTTGAAAGATTGCCCAAAGCAATTTTCATTTCACTAGAAAGAGAAGAAGAAAAGGAATAAGAAAGAAAAAGAGAAACACGCAATGTGAGCTTTGGAAAGGGAACGTAACTAGCTACAACCCACTAGCCGCTCCAGATGCTTTTCCCTCCAACTTTGGTGTCACTTAAATTACTTTATAAAAGACGATAAACATAGCATATTAATCAGCAAAATTATCGATTTCTCGACCATATGGTTCACTTCCTACCTATCTTCTTTATGTACAGACCTGAAGAAGCAGGATGCCAATGACGATGAATGTACAACAAGAGCTATCCTATCCTTTAAGGGGGGAAAGACGGAAAAAAAAAAAATCCGCTCTGATGATTTCACTATTGCATGGGGGAAAACAGTACCTTTTCATCTATCAGTAGCTGACATGGACGCTGGTGGGTTCATAGACAAAGTTACCGGATGTTCTGCTTCAGCATTCTCCTGATTGCTACCAATGGCAACACTGTTGCTAAAGTTTCCACCTCCAACTCCAACCTGCTGAATCGGATCACCTGCTGAGCTTGACAATCTCTGGAGCAACCTCATCACGCCGCCAGAATCTGAACCTGGTGACAGCTCTTCCTCCCGCTCTGGCTGGATATTCAGGTCAATTTGGCCTTTGAAAGGTGAAAGGGAGGATTTTCTCTGGCTTAGTTCATCCTCAGGATCCTCATCGACCATCATTTTCTCGTTCGGACTACCATTTCCTGTATTACTGATCTGGACATCATCATCAGGCAATTGATCAGGCACCTGTAGTTGCTGCCGCCGCTGATGCTTTTGGCGTGCAGTTTCAGCTTCTTTCTCTGATTGTTTCTTCTCACGCCGCAACATAAGTGTACGAAAACGGCGCTTTACAGTTAAGCAGACATTACATGTGCATGTTTGCTTGTGTTTAGGCCCCTTCCCACTTGGGGGCTGAATGCATACAATGCATGAACAGCCGGGTCTGTGGCGGGGATGCTTTGTTGTGGCCTGGGATGATGATGGGAGGGACTCACCCTCTTCCTGAATAGCTAGGTTGGCAAGGGTATCGAGCCCCTCCAAAGCTTCAACCAAATCTGGATCCTGTTTGGCAGCTTTCATTTTCTTGGAAGCAACTGCACAATCGCAATGACATGTGACATGACCAAGTGCGAATTTGACAAACCATGGTTCAAATGAAAGCATTGTCTATATAAAATAGGATTCATGAGAGAGAGAGAGCAGGAAAAGAATAACTACAGAACCCAACTGTGGTATTCTACTAGGTGCAGCCATCTGTGAGATCGTGACAATGATGCTTTTCTGAACAACATAGTATTCATAGAAATTCATGGGGGGGAGAGAGAGAAAGAGCAATAAAATGAGAACTGCAGAACCAAAATGTGGTGTTCTGCAAGGTGCAACCATACATGACAATTAGCTTTTTCAGGCTTTTCAAGTATCATACATCAACTGAGTGAACTCTGGATAACAACACAGCATCAAAAAAATTGTTGAAGCATTCATACCTCGATTACTTGAGTGTAGCAGATCTTCAAGCTCTTCTGCTGTTAATTCTTGAGTCGCTGAACACAAAGATCTGGCAGCAGAAAGGCATTGAAAATATGAATAGAACTGCAGAAGTGCTAGCATGAATTGAGATAGTTTTATACCATTAGTCTCAGCATTGAGGAAAGGAAGTTACTATGCTAGAGAGGGAGGGAGAGGGGTGGGGGTGGAAATCCAAATCATTCAACCCAGCAGCCAAAAAAGAAAATCATCCCATTTTCATTTTAGACTCCCACAAACTTATCCAAAAAAAAAAAAGAGCCCCCTCCCACAAGGGAGATTACCACAAGTCCTAGAACCAAAAAGAAGAACATATCTGGGGGCACAACTCCGTTTCTTTAAGTGGCCTATTTTACCTTTCTGGATCCCATGAGTTTTGAGAGCACGTCCATCTTGAGGGAAGAAGAGTATCAGCAGGAACCTTGCGCCACTTAAGACAGTTTTCACATTGAGCCCACTGGGTCTTTTCACTGACACAAATGAAACATAGTATTGGTATTCACTTGACCCCAAAGAGATGTATAATTGAAAAAATCTCATCGGAGAAATAGGAAAAATCATGATGCTCAATAAATTATAGAGAAAATTTGAAGGAACCAAATATGCAAGTGAAATGGACCTGAAGATTTGAATGAACAAAATCTAACTTATACCGGATGAAGTTCAGGAAACATTTCAGGATTACCTCAAAAGGTAAGCATGTGGACGCATACTAACTCTTCAAAATCTTTTAGGAACTTCCAATACTATATAGAGTATAATATATTCTCCAGAAGCAGAATTGTACTCATATTATATTATGACAGCAACATTTTTTCAAACAAATAAAGCACTAATCATGCAGACAATAAAAACGAAGCAAGATTATTTTGCATTTTTCAAATGGCTATTATTAGTTTTAGTGTGAAAATAGAGGGAAAAAACAAAAAAATAAAAAATAAAAAATAAAAATAAAAATAAAACCCTCATACAGAAAACATAAGGAAGTAAATTGAAACAGAAATGTTGACTGCAAGTTAGAAGTGATTTACCCCACAGGATCTGTTGCAAAAATCATAGGCCTTCCAATGATTGGTGCATCCTGCTAAAGAAAACCATGTCAGGCCATGCTTTTACATCGTTTGTTAAGGATTACGAATATTGCAATAGCATCATAGGTCTAAAGACTAACAGAATTCAATCAAATATTAGAACATCGTTAAGAGCATAACATTGATTCAAAATTTAATGAATGTGATATACATGTCCATGTAGGCACAGCCTAGCATGTTTTAGCATTCAAAAAGAATTTATGATTGTGAGGCAGCATCTCACACAGATTTATTATTAAGCTAGAGCTAAACATTATAAAAACAATATGATATCTTGACTTAAACAATATGACTTGGCGAGTTACATTGACAAGATGACTTGGTGAGTTATATTGACCAGATGACTTGACGAGTTAAGTTGACCTTGCACCTCAACTTTGACAATCTCACAAGATTTGATTGCTAGATGTATCTCGATCACCATCTCTTACTGACTCCAGAATTATGAATAAAGGCCACAACATACTTTACTAGTTGCAAGGAACCGGATATTGCTATGAACATTTAGAAGGATAAATAGAACACAATTTCAATTGAGCAAGAACACTGGCATAAAGTAACTACCTCATATTCCTCCAACTCAAATCCTTCAATTACCACAACAGTGGGGACATGGTTAGGGGGTGGGCGAAGCAGTCCTTGAGCTTGTTCCAGTGTTACCTTCAGCTCTATCAGGTCCTCATTTTCAATTCTAAGCCGTTTGCTCTTGGAACCTAAGGTGCTGCTCTTTCTCTTAATACGGAAAGAAGATTTAGCACTGATTGCTTCCTTCGCAATGTATCCAGATTTATCAACTTTGGACCATGTACTTGCTGGATCTGTCGAGTTAGCCTGGTTGACTGATGAAAAGCTAGGTGATACCGAATTACCTTTTAAATGACGATGAGTTGAAATGGTTTCACTGGGTTTAGTTTTCCTGATATTAACATCTCCATGTGTAGAAACTCCATCACCGGTATCTATGGTTTCATTGCACTGCAGATCAGAAAACAGGATGAATAGTTGTTCAAGAATTTTTAAACCAGTAGATTCCAACATAAACCAGAACTTTATCATTTATAATAGGACTTCGTAAACACAAAACTATGCAGTTTTTATTAATGAATTCATGCTCTATGTTAGAACTTTACTATGTCCTTCTATGTAAGAGAAAATGCAATCATGGGTCTGCCAAATACTTGTATCCAATACTTTTTTATTAATGAATTCATGCTCTAAGTTGGAACTTTGTTATGTCCTTTTTTTATGCAAGAGAAAATGCAATCATGGGTCTGCCAAATACTTGTATCCAATAGAGTTGCGTCCCATTGACATAGGATAATGATATGTTTGTTATTCAACGGGTGGATTGACATAACCAAATTCGTACAAAAAGGTATTGAGGAATATACTGGTGTAATTTCCTTTCCTTATTTTGAAGACATCAAAAGTTACTATATCACATGGAGATAATTCGCTTAGTGAAAAACAATGGAGATAAATCACGGGCATAATAATTTTTCCAAGCCTTTTAGAAATGTCAAGGGAAATTTAGTAATTGATATTACTTGAATGTTTAAAAAGTAAAAGCCGTGACATGACAAAACACCTAACTACATCTAATAGCCAGTAACAATTCTTCATGTCTCCTTGCATTTGTGACGATAAGAATGGATAAAAAGAAGTATTTACATAAACCATTGGAGATATCCACTGTGTCAACCATTGGGAGATATCCACTGTCACATCACTTTGTGACACTCCATTTACTAATTCACTAATAAACAATTGAGTACTGCTTTATTTTCCAAGACCAAACCTGATCGGATGATGGAGCAGTTGAAGCCTTTCTGAACCCCATGACCAACTTTCCTTCTGGCTCTAACCGACTGAATGTTACTGAAGAAATAAATCAAATCTCAGTCCGAAATCAGAGAACTCATAATAAACTCATTTGTCATTTCCAATTCACTTGGGAGAGGGAAGGAAATAGTTAGAAGATAACAAGAATAAAACTTTGTATGTTTGCCACTGAAATGCGAAAGAAAATGCAAAATGGATCGAGAAGAAAATGCAGATAAAGTGCTAGACAGACAGATAGGTGAACAGTAAAAACCAATAAAAATTTAGGAAGCAACCGAATCATGCCTAGAAGTATGTCGGGGTTACAAAGGTGGTAGGTGGGTGGTACTGCGAAGAACCTCTAACACTTCATGGATAGTTCAGGATCGTCTCCTATTGGAGTTCCTTCAAACTAGTGCAACGAGCCAAGCTTGAGCAACAGGAGGCATTGGCAGATTCATGAACATTACTTTCATATTTTTCACAGCCATGTTCTTCCATGTCAACTTTTTAAGAGCCACTAGGTTGTAGACAACAGAGTGAAATGAATGGTAATGCATTATGGGCAGAATCTATAGATATTGTGCCCTTTGCAGAACCCCATCAAGGGCACACTATTGCTTTTTTTTCTCCCCTCTAATGGAAATCCAACAAAGAGAAACCTCTCTTTCCCTCATTCTAGCGAAGTACCTCTCACAACAAAGAAGTTCGCTATCTTATCTCTCTTGAATAAATTTCATCCAATTCATATAATTTGTTCAATCTTTTCATTTGGTTTGGCAATGAGGGACTCCACTTTTGAGGACTCGATATTTATTTTAGGATTTTATATAGATAGCCTTCCTTCTTCTTTTTTTCTAAAGAAGATATTTCACGATCACTTTTTTTTCCCTATTATTTATCCAAAATTTATTAGAATTAGTGTTTCTTCACTCTCTTTTTTCCACGTAAACCCTTGATTTAAATTCTTTTTTTGCCAAAATAAATCTGTATCCTGAGTTTTCATTTATTTATGGGTGGTGATTATTAGCTCCATAATCCACATTCAAATGGAGCTCCTGGTACTTTCATTTTATTTTAACTGTGTCGAGTTCATGCTAGTCAAAACCAAGCCGAGCAGAGCTTGAGCAGGGTTGGCTGAGCTCGTGACGAGTACAAGCCATGTTCGAGCATGATCTTGAGTCAGCCAGCCAACCAAATCACTGCTACTCATCTCAGCTCGATTCATTTGAAGATCTGGTTGTGGAAAGGGAGCATAATTTGAGAGGTATCTGACCAAGTAACAAAAAGTGATGGTAATGATGTTGCTACTTTACAAGTGAATCCTACACATCCCAAAACTGAAGGGAACAAGGAACTACTGAATTAACAAAAATAACATCTTAACCCAGCATAACTAAGACAAAAAGAACTATTCAAGCATTGTTTCCAAATGATGTTGGTAAGTTACCTATGTCACCAGCTTGTAACTGCATTGACTGTATACAAGGGGTGACCCCCTCTAAAACATACATTCTGCTATTATTATTGGGCCAGAATCGGAATTGAAATATCCATTCCTTCCCCTTCAAATCTTGTACTTTGAGAGGCAATCCTTCTGGCTGAGAAATTGGTGGAAAGTAGGCCTATTCAAGTAAACACATGTAATAGATCCATCAGGATTGTTTATGAAAATGTAAAAGTAACAATTAACTGAATAATTCAAAGAGAATTTAATTCTAATGTATGATGGAAAAAAAATCAAAGTTAGAAGGAGGGACCTGGTACCGCTAGGCCACTGGCCTGTTGGTAAGTAAAATATATATTTATTCATTCAATTCTAAACTATTCTTCCAATTACCAGCTAACCATAGTTGTAACCTGTAACCACACCCCACCACTCCAATCATAGCTAATATCATCTCAAACCATTTACAGAAATAAGAAAAGGAAAAGTAGAAACTGCAAGCAGTAGAACAACCAACTACCAAAAAAAGCATGAGATTTTTAATAAGTATATCTATCCTAATACACGTCTCTGCATTCAATCATCTTGGGGAGAGGGAGGAGGGGGGTGAAGGGCTCTGTCCACTTCACTTGTAATGAATCAACATTTTACATGCACAAAGTAGAATGATGACAGAGAAAGCCTCTATATGAGAGTAAGAACACAACAAATAAGAAAGTGTTAATTTCTTACTTCGCTCAAAGAATATCTCACTGGAAATTTTTTATAATTAAACATGTGTGTGGACATATTTTATACAAATGTATGTGCATGCATAATAAATCAAAATATATTTATAGACACACATAAATTTTTCATATATGTACATATATCATAAACAGAATGCTTTCAACTTCCTAATACAGAGAATACAAAAATAAAAAAGCTGAACAAAATGAAAGGCTAAGCCGGGAAAGCATAATAGCTTACCTCTGCACATTTTTTTGGCAGCACTAGACGCCCTATCCGTCCAGCATCACTCGCACTTAACATCTTCTCAAACAAAGGAGTAATTACAGAATTCGAACTTACATTCATTAAGGGTTTAACATGCTGAACTGCCTATTTGCACGTTAAAATTACAGAAGCCTTCCATTAAAATTATATACAGCTTTGCTTGTTTTGTAAAAATTATCCATAGATTAAACAGGAAATTTTAAAAAAAAAAGAAATCCAAATTCAGAATGATAACCTGATTTTACAATTTTGAATTATGATTAACAGAAACATGTTATTCATCAAATATCTCTTAAGAAATCAAGAAAAAACATGGAACTATAGGATACTCTTCAGAGATTTGCTGCAACTCTTGATCAGTTATTCTGGGCCAGTACCGAGGAAGTAAATTGCTTCGTCCCCGGGCATCTCCTCGAGGCCTTCCAGTGCGTGCCTGAGTTTCAATAGATGACTCGATTCCATTAGACCATTGCTTTAACATTCGAGGTGGATGGGTCAGTTGCTGTGCATGAGTTCCAGAAACTTGGGCAAGATCATTTGAGTCATTTGGTGAGGCTGAACTTAAAGCCAAACCGAAGTGAGGAGTAGATGTGTCATTTTTTGGGAAGGACGACTGCTGAGGAATATTCGCACTTGCATTAGGTTGCTCCTCACGGTTCGATCCTGCAACAAAATGTTCAAATCAGGATAAGAAACCACTCAACATATATATTAGAACATTTTCACCTGCATGTCAGTGAGAACCTGACAAGAAATAAACATGAACATTTTCACCTGCATGTCAGTGAGAACCTGACAAGAAATAAACATTCTTTTTCTATGTGGAAAATATATATAGGAAATGATCAATACCTGAATTCCCATTCTGAAGTACTGTTGATGCACCAAGCTTCAGGCTTCCATTCATTGGCCTTTCAGACAAATCCTCTATTTTCCTCCTTTCTGAAGAAATGGTAGATAATCGTTCAGCGGCAATAAGTCTATCAGTGCCAATTGGTATATCAACTTCAAAGGGCATCCTTATATGCAACTCTGACGGAGTGGAAGAAGTACTGAACAAACTGGGTGCTTGTCGCCATGGTACAGGACCTGATGCTGCTATCTGACTCCAATTTTTGTTAGAGAGGTCTTTAATTCTTTCAGGTACTGCAGGAAGGAAGAGAGAAGGTGGTGGCCATGCAGGATTTGGTGTCTGAAACATTAAAAATTAACTGCAATTGTAACACAATCTTTTATACGGGCAAAGGAACACAATATATAATGGGGTAAAGTTAGAGCAGACCATCAGTGGAGAGAAGGAAAAAAAAAAAAAAAGTATGTTCTAATAAAGAAATTTAAACTGTTTAGACAATTTCTCAGAAAATGATAAGAGAACTTTATGCTTTAGGTGTTTGCATGATTTTAAATAAGTAACATATATGTTCAAAGTATATGGGGTTCTGCATCAACTGAGAATTCTTTAATTCGATATGGCTTATTCACTTGGGTTGGGGGAAGAACCAAAATTTTGAATTGCTGTTACTCGCCATGTAATTCATCAGAAATATGCTGTCATGGAAAGAAAAAGAGGTCCTTTATCGAGTGCTGGTCCTGCCTACTCAGGGTACAGGAAAGGAAATACTGAGGACATTCTTCCTTTCTTTTCTTGAAATGTGTCCTCACACTTGTTAAGGGCAGATTTGGGGCTGAGTCAGGATTGAACAAGGTTGGGCCGATGGTATCTTCACTCAGATCGGGCTATCGTTTGGGTTCACTCAGTTCTGGATCCATCTTGTCCCATCCCCGTATGAGAAGGGTTCGAAGATTAGCTTTGATTTTAATTGGAAAAACTCAAATAAATCTCAAGCCAATTCCGTAATTGAAGAATCAGCATTATCACATGGGATTTGGATTTGCAAGAACCTAAATAATGGTGTGACGAACAACCCAGGTTGCCATAAAAATGCAAAACCAAACATAAAGAACATGGAACAACTCACCAAAATGAAACTTTTTCTTGCACAGTTTATACACTCAATTCCTCCAGCATCCAACAGTACAAATGTATGGAATGAAACAATACATCCACAATGTATTTGCTGCAGAGAGAAAATATACGACTCAGACAATAAATTACATGGATCTTTTTTCGTTTCTTTCTTTTCTGTTTAAAAAACAGTCTGGAAGATATAATGATCTAATCTCATATTACTAGCCTGAAAATATGATTCTTCAGCTCACCTTCCCACAAGACTCACAGCACCTCCAACCAGAAGCATTCATGTGGAAAGTCTCGCAGAATTTTCCCTCCTCATAAGCAGAACTAGAGTCACCATAGAACTAAAGTCAGCAGTTTAAAATAACTAAGAAGAAAAAACGAGTACATATAAAAGCATAACATAAAGCTCTTTTGAGAATTTATTTTCAAGTAAAAGTAAATTCAAAATTACTGGAAATGAGAATGAGAACATAAATTTGCATTGGACAAAGTTTGATTTTAGATTTTCCAAATCTATTAGATGATCTTTGAGCTTTTTACATGCACTAACTAGTGTTCAGTTATCAAGGATCAAATAGCCCAGAGAAGGCCTAAAATATAAGCTATCAAACAGTGACAGAATTAAAGGAATTATTTTTTACCATTTGTATGTTTTAAGGTCCTGTATACAACAATGAAAGTAATCCTATACGCACATAATTTAATTCTTAATATTATAGATTCAGATATGTGAATGAACTTTTTAGACACGACTCCCATGTTTGTGCGCTAGTATCTAGTGATACTGCTGATGAGGTCTTAGTGTGTCATGTTTATAACTATATCATATTTGCGTCCATGCAAGTTCATCTAAAATTTTGCCCAAGGTACTGGCAACATTAGGGATGGAATCAAATTGGACCGACATGGAATCTGCTATCAGGTTGGCAAAGACCAACTTGAGTTGGTTTGAAAAACTGCCAGATGTACATCTAATATTTAGGACGAAGCTGAACAATCACACAACTATTCTCCACTAATCAAACTAAATAAAAGTGTTACCGGCCTACATAACAGTAATTGGCAAATTTTCAAGATTTTCTAAAAGGCCCTTAAATTCTATTATTGCAATAATTAAAACCAATGTTACCATCCTGAACAAACTAACAAAACTGCTCAGTGTATGTAAAACTTCTCGGTGATGCTGAGTAAGTAAGATATGATGCAAGGCCTTTCCAATTCACTTTCCAAGAATCACGTGTATAGGTGTGAGTATTCCCTAGAGGGCCTGCTTGTTTAGTTGGAGAATACTTCTGCAAGATATGTGTGTGATTATATACATATATACAGGACAGTTCTACAAAATTCTTTACATTTACAACAAATTTTCGATTTAGTTTTGGGGAAAGATTTATATAATTCGTTGAAAGTACTTTTCATCAAATTAAACAGAGATATATTAAGTTCCATCATTCCATTTCACGTCTGAAAGACCAATGTATCAATGCATTAGGAGGAGGAATGATGGCTCTAATAGAATCATTCAGTTATTGCCAGTTTTCCAATTTGTTCTATCAAACTTCAAATTACTTAATGCATAAAAGGAACTCACCCATTAATTTTAAAAGACCCAAACTTTCACTAGGAATTAGCTCATAACATAGTAATTAATGCTCAACTAAGCAACCAATCATGCAAGTCAAGAACTAAAAAAACTCAAAACACTTTATCAAAAAAAAAAAATTTACCACAAAAAAACCCTAACAACACATACTAAACTCCAGTTAAATGAATCCACAAATCTAACCAGAACTATCTGTAACAAAAAGAAACTAAACAAAAACCATTGAAATCAGTCAACACCACTAAAATAAGGGAGTTAAAATTGCTTACGCGCATCGATCACAGAGGTCAGCGAACTCGCCGGTCCGACGACGCCAACCTTTTCTCGATCGTTCCAATACATCCTTACAGTTGGAGTTGAAGCAGAATTTCGTCAACGAAGACGACATCGAAACTCACCGAAACATATAAACCAAAAATTTATCTAGCGAGAGAGAGTAAGACTAGAGAGAGAAAAAAGCGAGTATGATAAATAAAGATTTTTTTGCCTCTCTTGTCTACAGTTCCAATTGAACCAAAACTTCGCCGACCAATACGACAGCGTACTCATGCGTAGAACCTAGAGAGAGAAACTAGACCGAGAAAGCGTAGGAATGGCGTAGGCAACCAGTGCCCCGATCTGCAAAAGGCAGACGGCTCGCGGAGGGTTTTAAGAATTAAGAGAGAGAAAAGAATAATAACGCAGAAGTGAGAGAGAAAAAGGCAAGTACATATAGATATACAAATTGGCTTATGTATCTATTATCTATATATATATACACACTCCTATATAAGGCTTTGAAAACACGTCGAGTCGTGCCTTATATTGTTGAGTAGTTTTTTAGCGTCGTCGTTTCTTTCTCTTTCTTGTTTAGTTGGTTTGGTTTCTTACTCTCTCTATTTGTCGTCCTCGTGGCCGTCACTGGGTGAAAATGAAATCCACGTTATCTGAAAAAATAAATATTATATACTATATACACTACCAGTTCTATATATATATACAGGGCAGGAGGGCTTTTTGGGGATAATGAAAAAATTTATCTAAATCCACGTGTAAGAGAGTCCACAGATATAGCGAGTATACAGTTCTAAGCACGCGAGGGAGTACAAAAGGATCATGGTTTGTTTTGCAAGGTCATGCAATATTTACGTAGCGCCTGAGATGTTTAAACACGCGCCTTATGGATTGAGACTAAAACGAGGGTGTTTTGGGGATGTGGTTTGATGTGGGCACTTTTGGTAACAACAGTGGGGAGTTTAAGTAAGGTTCAAAACAACCATAAATGTCTAACAACTCTGCAAAAACCAAAGTCAGAAAAGTGGCTACATCGTACGGTCATGAATGGACCATATTGTAATTCAAGAAAATGAACGGTTGAGATCATCATGTCAAATAAGGAGATAATAAATGGCGTTGTTGGAAGCTTATATGTGACCATGCAATTAATTCGTTTAAAATTCTACTCAATTAAACAAGGCATATTGAAATGGTCTTCCTATGGAGGTACGTGAAAATACTAATTCTAGTTAAATATAACTAAAGCAATGGATTTATTTGGTTTTTTACTTTTTTGAATGTCACGGAAAGAACTAAACCCTTTAACTCCATTTCTCTTGTTTTTCGCTTTTTTTGGGTATATACCATTTCAATATTCTACATTTTTTTTTTTTTCTACGTCAATGGAGGAGAATTATGTTGGAGAAAGACATATATCTATTCTTAGATATTTTAATTTTTATTTTCTTTTAATTTGTGGACCATTTCATCTAATATTAATTTAATGGTAGACAATACTCAATTTAAAGAAGAAAAAAAATGCAAACCCCACTAATATTGAATTGTATTAATTTGAGATAAACTTTAATGGGGCAACAGTATTATTGATGACAAGGTATCACTCACAATTTAAATATGCACTCGTAATGATAAAATCAATTGAAATAGATGCATTATTATATATACTTTCGATGTAAGAAATATTTTCTCGTATTAATTATAACTTAATTGAACTTATGCTGTGTGGGCCAAAAAAATTTTAATATATACCATTGATGTCTTGAGATTGAACTGTGGTAACTTGTGATTGTGTTTGAAACTTGTAAGGATGCATGCAATGAATTCCCATATCTTTAATTTTTTTTTATGGGATGCAAGCATTGAATTACCATATATATTTATTAAGGGAAGCCTGAAATGAATTATATATTTTTATGTATTTTCGTATTCATTTTCTCTCTCTCATTAATTGGGTTGAGGACAATGAGGAGGAGTGTGATCGCATATCAAATACTAATAGTTTTTATGTTAGAAGCTTGGAGAACTTAAAGACATAATGGATGGAGTACGTAGTTAATGAAGACAAACATGGAATTAAGATACTTTTGTTTATGATAAGTACTAAAATTATAGAGTGGCGTGTGTAATCTCGACTACATCTAATTGACTATGTTCATTCTCTTGTTTCCTTCGTAAGACGATGCTAACTAGTCACCAAGAGAAACAATTAACGATGTAGTTAGTTTAGCGTTGACGGAAAGCCACATGCACAAGTTTCTTCTTGCTTACAAACTCACCATCAACCTTTTCCTCTATGCCAAATGAGCTTTTACTTAGGAAATAATATATATGAATGTACAGTGACGAAGCTAGCTTAGTCTATTTTTCATAACGTCATCCGAAAGGAATTTTCTAATATTATTGCAATTGACGTGAATTTTTGTAGTGTACAATGATATCATGCACATTTTGATATGTCCTTACGTAATTAGGTCTCATGATATTTTAGATGTTTACGTGATGGTATATATGTAGTTAAAGAAAGATATTAGGGGAATATGAAAAAAAATAAGATAATAAAAAGACTAAAAATGCATATTTGCCATATAGCACTGCTTTTATGAAGTCACATAATAACAATTATGGTAAACCCTCCTTTGAAGTAGTATATTTAGATAAAAATAAAATATATAGTAATTCACAAATTACATGGTCAATTGGCTTGATTAAGTGATTTCATTGTTTGATACCGTCAAAGTTAATAATATAATTTGGTCGAATGAGTTAAAGAAAATAGTATATAAAAGTTTGCTAATTCGATACGAAGTATAATTTTCATACAATTCACTTTCAGTTTAGATGCACACGACCTCGAGCGTCATTTTTAGATAGAAAACTCATGACAAATGCCATGAGAGAGACCTTGTAGTATATACATAGAAGAAAAAAATGTTTGGTTGTACAATTCCCTTTAGATGCACACCTTAATATTGGTAAGTGTCATGAGACAGGCCTCGCAGTAACAAAAAATATAGGAAATTTTTTTTTGCAGCAAATGATTTGAGGATTCCTAGCTGTCCTTTCCTTCTGTCTGTATGTGCGGTATCGGTCCGTGTATGCAAAATACCGATTTATAATTTTATATACTTCTTGTATATAATAAGCCTTTTCAATTGACAAGTAACGTTGTCGCAATTAAATCGGCAGTGAATGCCATGGCTCTTCTTTTCGCGCGTGTTGAAATTTATATATATTACAATTACAAATTCTTATTTTATATATTTGCAAATTGGGTTAATTTAAACAAGTCTACCTTTTACTTTATTGAATTTGTATTTTAAGCATTTTACCGGATCTTAAATAGGGGTGGTAAATGAAAAGGTTGGCTCGGGTTTGGACAGAATTAAATATGAATGGATCGAATATGACTTGTGATCTATTTTCAACTCAAACGGATTAAATATGAATTGGGTGACAATGAGTCAGGTCAACTCGTCATGACTCGTCAATCCGTTTTAGGAGAGGAAAAAATTTATTATTTTGGATAATCTCATTGTTACAGTTTTTTATTTTAGATAGACAAAAACTTATAAAAATATGTATGAATAATTGTAAATTCTCTAATTTATTTTGAAAATTTTTTAAATTTATATTATTTTATTTTGTGACTAGATATGCATGAAGGTAAGATAATATATATATATATATATATATATATATATATATATATATATATTATATAAAATCGTCTGTTAAGCTTTTTCTAGAATAAATAATTAAATGAATAAATTAGGTCGTCCTACTTTGAAATACAAATGTAAACATAAGTTTCAAATAGAGGTTATGAATTTGGGTCTTTTATAAAATGGGTGAAATATGAATAAAAATGGGTAATCCATATTCAACCCATTTGAGTCACTTATTTTGATTCATATTTTAAAAGGGATGGATTTAAACGAGTTGATGGGTCATGACCCATTTGCCTCCGAATCCTAAATAAAGATGGAAGAAAATTTTAAAAGGCTTGCGTTTATAGAATAAATAATTAAAAATATGTATGGATAATTGTAAATCTTATAATTTATTTTGAAATTTTTTAAAATTTATATTATTTTATTTTGTGACTAGACATGTATAGGTAAGATAATATATATATATATATATATATATATATATATATATATATATATATGAAATCATCTGTTAAGCTTTTTATAGAATAAATAATTAAAGGAATAAATCAGGTTGTCCTACTTTGAAATACAAATGTAAATGTAGGTTTCTTTCGAGCTATAGTATTACATACACGAGGAGTCCATGATACAGAGAGAATCTTAGAGAGATAGTGGGAGAGAAAGAAAAAAAAATTGGGATCATGTGAGAGAATTTTATAAATGAATAGGTGGATCTGAGTCAAATAGAGGTTGTGAAATTGGGTCTCTTATATAATGGATGAAATATGAATAAAAATGGGTGATCCATATTTAACCCATTTAAATCACTTATTTTGATTCATATTTTAAAATGGATGAATTTAACAAGTTAATGGGTCATGACCCATTTTACCTCCCGAATCCTAAATAAAGATGGAAGAAAAATTTAAGAAATTTCAAGCTATATTAATTTTCTCTCATTTTCGTTGCACCCAAAAGGATACAAAAGGTCGGAAGCTGATTGGGCAGACCTACAAGTCAACAGAAGCGTGTGAACAAAACTCGTGGTTTTTGAGGTCTCAATTTCCGGCACAAGATGCATGAGAAAAACGTAGAATGACATAGACGTTTAAATAGGGATCGATCGACATACACCACTTTGGAATGTAGCTCATGACTTATACGTGTGCAGACTAATAACAATATACAGGGGAGCACAGCACACGTATATATGCCACCTAGTGGAAATCAATTTTCTTTTCAAGTGATAATTAAGCACATCATGACTTTTGGTGGCCTATATATCTATATGTTAAGCTACGATTATATTTCACAGTCAGTTCTAACCATATGCATGAATTTATGGACTTCTAGCTCTGAGTCGAATATTTCAAGTTACAAGTCTGAATTCAACTAGAATAAATAAAATTAAGAATGAGTTGATTGATTAGTTTAGCTTGAAAGTTGGGTTGAATGGAATAACTTTAAACCCGCTCAAATTACACGCCTAATTCATGGTGGGTTAGAAATGGAATTGGTAGTATCATGCAGAACTAAAGAAGGAATGATCCAAGGGTTAGCCAATCCTTAGCCACAAAGTTCCAAATTGAAGGCGTTTTTGTATGCAAGCGTTGAAAATGGACACACGAGAAGTGCATGTGAGGCTCGTGAGTTTGACAGGCCGACGTGAAAAAGTGTGAAAATGACATTTACGGGAGATTTTGGGTCGCGTCTGGTCTCGTCTCTTGATTCCATTCATTGCACGTTGTATTACATTTAAGTTAAAAAGCCGTCCTTTTATATATATATATATATATATATATATGGCCTAAATCACGGCATGGTTATAGATATATACTCGTACATAATACATATAGAGAGCGAGCGCACAATTTCATGCTTTTTATAAATTTCTCTCTTCTAATTTACTTGGTGCACTTCATGACATTTTTTCTTTTTGGAGAGTCCAATTGTGGGGCCTCTTTAGAGAGATATTAGTTTTTTTTTTTTTTTTCTTTTTTTCCTCCGCCCTAATCATGACATGAAATATATTTACCCAATAATAACTTATTTCTATAAAAAAACTTAACCATCCTTGAGATAATAGTTTTTTTTCCCTTAAATAGTAAGTGAGATATTGGTTGATTTTGCAAGAAATGTAAAAACACAACTAGAAATGGGTATAGAAAAAGAAAGGTCATTTGCTTAAATATTTAACACGTTTCTTTCCATACTACTCATTCTGAAAAAAATAAATAAATAAAAATTAAAAAAAACAAACTTGCAGGAAGAGTCTGGCATCTACTTTTTAAATATGTATCTTTGGGAGTCAGGAATTTTTAATTGGGGGCAAGCTAGTAATGTAAAATTAAAATTTTAAAATAATATAAAACCATTGTAAGATTTTTTTTTTTTTTTAGTGCATGTTTATTGCCTTCGTTGAAATAGATGGATTAGTTATGCTTTTTAATACTTAAACAAAATTCTAATAGAAAACTCTGCCTTTTCATCTCAAATGGTAAGAAATATGATTTTTAAATATATATATTTTTTATTATTCGATAGTAATATATTAAATATTAGAAGACCATTTTTAATATTCAAATATTAAATATCACCTTCAAGTAATCATACACAAGCTAATATTTTTATTTTTTAGTGTTTACTGAAATATTGCTTACACAACATGTCACATTTTTCTTTCAAAAAAAAAAAAAAAAATACATGACACGATAAAATTATATTATTTTTTTTTTCAATTTTTAGGATCATTTGGGTCAATTAATAGAAAATTATAAAGATAATTTAATAATTCACATGAGTTAATTAAGAAGTTAAAAGGCAAGTAAGTACTTTTAGTATGGTTGAGGTATATTTGTTTATTTTACTTAAAAGACATCATTAAACTGTAAATGGAGGTCTTTAACTTGAAAAATATCAAACGTGAGAGGGTGTTACTATAATTTACCCTCCTTCTCCTTCTCCTTCTCCTCCTCCTACTTTTTCTTTCTTTTTCTTTTTTTTTTAATTGACAAGAAACTCACATCCACCCCTACCCTTTTTTATTTTTTATTTTTTTGGCAGGACACTCACATCCACCACTCACTCACTCCACTTTCCTCCTTTGAAGACTCACCGTCACCGTCACCGTCACCGTCACCATTGGAGGTAGAGGAGATACTTGTGGTCTAAATTCGGCTCGAGTCTATAAACCATCACAAATCAATTTAAGAATAATTAGAACTCATTAATCACGTGGGTGACATGCAAGCGCTGACGACGAAGTTAGGCATTGATAGAATTTTTCTACTCTCTTTCACACGTGTATGGAGATTGTGCAGTATTGTCACACGACCAAACTTGAATTCATGATTTATTCAGAAGATTGCAACTCAAACAAGCTTGTCTAATGGTACGAGCTTAACCTGAGCACGTCAGTCAGACATTGTTGTTAACCTAGTTAAAAGGTCACAGTAATACAAGGTTTGTAAACTGAACCTATATCAAATAATAACATTTGTTAGCGAAGGACTCTAATGTGGAATCTGGAAATCTATATATATATATATATTATATATATATCAATCAAACAAACAAAGGACCACTACCAAAATCGGATTACACCATTTTAGAATTTTCTTAGCTCTTCAAGCAGAGCAGGTGGATCCGCCATTCTCCACCTTGCATTTTAACTATGAATTAGAAAACAAACAAATAAAAACTTTTGCAAAACCCTTATTTGAAGTAACGAGACACAATTTATAGACAACCTTTGCAACCCAACAAAAAGAAGTTGAATAAAGATATATATGAGGTATGCTAACCCATCTTATGTTGATTGATAAAAGCAAATATATAACTGAGAAATTGCATAGCAGGTATATATAGTTCAATCAAAACTTTATAAGTCAACTTTAAACTTGAAGCAAGAGAAGAACTAGCATTGCCCAAAAAGCATGCTACAAGCAACTTCTGAAACTTAAAAAATGTTTTTCTATTTTTATTTTTTTTCTCTCTCTCCTTTTGTGATTCTATACAAACAGAATTTATCACCAACCAGTGGCAGTTACTTTTTCTTTTCGGTATTTAACAGTATAACCACAAAATCAGATCCATGAAAAACCAAGATAGAATTCTAAATTGGGGTAAATAGAGTCGCTAAACCTTGATCCACTGTAATTTGGAGCTTGTCATATGCCATCAGGGTTTTCTGATCACACTTGAATGTTCCCTTCCCTCTGGCTAAGACCTCACCATCTGCGTCTATGATCCCTTCCTTGGTCGGGTCCCCAGTTCGTGGGCCAGGCTCCAAAACAAATGCTTTCACCTGTAATTGTTGCAAGAAATGTTAGTGGGACAAAAATGGAACTACCAGACTACCCCTTCACATGTACAGCAATTGGCAGAGCTAATGAATAACCAAGTAGTCACATGTTATATTTTGGAGCACCGAATCAGTGCATTGGATTTGGGATTGGAGGAAGTTTAGTTCAAATTTTGTATTATTTTTTTCCAATCCCAAATCCAAGGCGCCAATTCGATGCCGCCAAACATAGCAATAGTTTCGATGTTCTCAGGAAAATACTATTCCTCCAAATTTTAAGATCCTGAGTACTCTTTTAAAATTAGATCTAATCCCCGAGGGCAAAGAACATTTACAATGACCAAGATAAGTAACAGTAACCTCACCTTAAGGTATAGGACATGTGGAGATTTGACATGACCTCCATTATTCAAATCAGTCATCAATGTTAGCAAGGATAACTTTGAGCAATTCCTAATCATGACCAAATCCAAATAACCATCTGAGAACTGCAACTCAACCAGCAAAAAGAATACAAAAAATCAGTTATGCCCAAAATAACAATTTTAGATTTTTTTATAGAAATTCCCAGCTCAGTGTTTATAGAGAGATTATCAGAGGCAGATGAAGAGTAAGAACTTTTTAATACCAAATGCAAAAATACTATCTCCTAGTTGAGCTCATTAACCACAAGGGACTACTCATTTTGCACATCACGCGTAAATAAAATGAAAATTAGGTATATTTCTTGAAGATAAAACATATTCAGGTGCAAAATAAAGAGGTTTAAAGCTGTCAAAATGTATCAACAAAATGAGTTTGTTTCGCCATTTCTCCAAGAATCAACCAGAAGTAGAAGAAGAATTTAGAAGAAGTAAAGGTGTAAAGGGAGATGGACAAAACTAAATTTTCAGGGAAAGCTACATATCCAAGCCAGCCCTATATCTCGAACGGACATTACAACCAGCAACTTTGCGATTACATAAAAGAATTAGTTTCATAATTGTTTCTCTACTACTTTCTGTGCCCATGATGGGAATCAATTGGCATGGGTTGATCTTATTGCTCAGACGTCCTAAGACATTTAATTAACAGGGGAGGGGAATGGACTAACCTTGGCATCAGGTGCTGCCAGGGTGTCTTCAGCACCCCATGGAACATTATGAAGCCAGATTGAAACAAACGGCCCATCAAGCTTCCTCCAACTTAAACTCTCAACATCAACATTAGGACCACAGTAGCCACATTTCTGAACATCAATATTCTCCCCTTGACTTGGATTACAGATGCTGACTTCACCTCTAGATTCACCTTTTTGGCAGCTTGGCTCTCCATAAGCTTCAAACCCAGGAGCAGGCACAAAAGATATACGGCCATCATATTTCCTAAGATGAAATATTCGTTGAAGAGCCTGAAAAAACAGTAGCAGCTTATTTAACATGACTTTGAGGTCACAAAACTTTACTAATTAATTTTCACAACCGCATTTCATGCTTTCCAAATTATTGTCGAAATAGTCAGATTTTACTATCTCACAGTAGCAACAAATTATTCTTTATATGCATCTTAAATAAATGATATGGAGATCATTCAGTTAATACCAATGATACAGAAAGTTCACATATTTTACAGGAATATTCAGAACTAATACATAGGGAAGTCAGAGTTGATAGTTAAACAGTGGTTTCTTCAGGGGGAACACTATGAAGGCCAAATTTATTGAGAAGTTCAATAGGAAAGTCCATAAAAATAATCGAGGGGCATCAAAGTTGTCCATGAAGTCTTATTGATTGAACATTGATATCTCTAAACACATTTATCAATTTATCAAGTAATAATACAATAGTAAATACAACTCATAATACTAAGAAGACTAGTAACAGTGAAAACAATAATTACAATAACCATAACAGTAACATATAACAACGGCACCGAGCATAGGAAGGACACGCGTTGTGAATTCAGTTTTTTACATATAACGACAACATTTCAAAATTCCAATAGTAACTAGTATATTGATAAACATGTTTAACAAGAACAGCAACAACAATAGTGGCAGTGGCAGCACCAGCAATATTAATAATAGTATGGCAATAATATAACTGAAAAGCTTAATGGCACGCATGTATTTAAAGATTTTTGTGAATAGTAGCAAGACATTGACAAGAAAATTTATATGTACAAGATTTATGGCTCCCTACCACCACATCAATCATCAGCGTTTAAAAGGAATAAGTTTCCTGGGTTACATCACCACATCAGTCATTCTATCCATATGCTGCTCTTGATAGATTTTATATTTTAAAATTTCCATTAATGATGAGAGCTGCTCCTCATCTATGGCCAACTTTTGATATGCGATCAATGTTATGTTTGACATACATATTCTAGGAAGGAAAAGAGAATCCAAGAGATGGGCTAGACAAAATGTGGAACCCACGTGAATTTCTCTCCCTTTTCTTGGGCAAGTCCCGCATGCAGCTGGTGTAAGAATTACACCTGATTTGAAACGTGTTTTTTTTCAAGTTAGACAGAAGTACTTTAACAAGCCATAAGCCAAAAAATGAGCAGATATGAAAGGAAATTCTATATGGTCAGAAGCATCTAACACATATACCGGTCAAAATAACAGAATTTCATTTTCGAAGCAATAACATTATGCAAGTGTGTAGAATATAACAAATCGAAATCAAGTAACTTACATAGACATCTAGACGAGCACTTCCCATCCATCTATACTTCTCAGACTCAATATCAATATCTGCCACAAGACCTGGAATACAATAACATAATGTTGGCAATACTGAAAATATGACTGTGCCATATGCCATTGTCTAGTTTTTAAATATATCACTTCGTCATCAAACTTGTTCCACGAAAAACCACACACAGCATTTTATGAAAAAGCATTTTAAACTGTGCTTGAAATACAGAATCCAGTACCAAAGTGGATGGCATTTATGGCGTACCCCATGCAAGCATCAACACACTAAAAAATCTGGTCTCCCCTTGCAAGATAGTAGCGACATCCAGTGAACGCCTATGCCCTGCCAGTAATCAAAGCATACAGTACAAAAGTTCTTGGATAAAAAACAAAAATAACATGAGAAAATCAAAATGAAAATTTTGATAATATTCAAACAAGAAAATACTTTTAGTAAACAATATGTAACCTCGAATAATAGCAAGAGTAGCATTAGATGCAGTACAGGGATCACCAACAGAATCCAGAATAGATTTTACCATGCCATTTCCAGTACCTGAATTCAAAACATTTCATATCTAAAGTCAACAGAAATAAGCCGTTTACAAAATTTATACAGATACTGAAAGCATAAGAACACCAGTAATGAATGCAGTCAGAGAAAAGTAGCAAAAGACAACTCTTATTTCTGTTTCTTATACATAAATTAGAAAAAATGCTAGAAAATAACGAAAATGAGTTAAAACTATTATAAAATAAAATCCCTATATTATTGGAGTTTTATATAAAATTCTCTAGTCTACTTCCATCTACTTTTTGAAGTATCTTTACCAATTCCATGTGCAGGCCACTGGAAAGGTTCGAGGGATGATTAAAGTAACAAAATCAAAATGTTAAATTGTTAGTATGGCTTTCACATCCAGAAGTGAACAAAATAACAAACGACGTTAGAGTTTCATTGAAACTAAATATAAAACGTAATCCGAAATGCAGTTCAAAAGAAAAAGAAAATAAATTTTTATTGAAAGGAAAAAAAAAAAAACAATGTCCTCGGGTTTGGGGACAACATATACCCACACCCAACATACGTACCAAAATCCATGTCACACAGGTTATGTGATGACTGATAATAAAATTACAAAAAGAAAATGAAGATGTGTACAAAATGTCAAAAACTATATGAAGCAAAGCAATCCAACAAAGGAGATTACTACAGAGGACTTGGCTCAAACTAGGAAAAGAGCCTTTGTGATAAATAAGCGAGATACAAAGTAACAATATCCCAAACATATGTGATAAGGGAGAGGGCACGTGTTTTCCATACTAAAGAGAGGCTTTGCGTTAAATATGTCACAAAAAGTAACAACATACCAAACATCATTAAAAGATGAAGAGTAAAAGCCTGTTCATATGCTACCAGTGAGAAGTGAGAAGCAAACTTTTCCTTTGAGAGGATTATCATGAGTAATTGACTCGTGGAGACGGACACTCCTTATTAGTTCCTAAATCTGGATTACTCATCAATTTGACAGATAAAGTTGGTGAATTTTAGTGTATTACTGCATCATTAGATAAAACTTCATCTAGTTACTATGGTCATTATCATGCCTCAACATTTTTTTTAGAAAAGTTTATGCTCATTTAAAGGGGAAATATCACAAAGAAATGCATTAACAAAACCTGCAGGTACTACTCCAAGAGGCATCCTTATAGCAGATTCCCAATCCTCTCTTTCAAGCAGTCCATTTACTACCTACTAACATTTGCAACTGTGTAAGAAATAGAATAGAGGTCATAATCATGTGCCACATTCAGCACCCAAATAAAGATTTAAACTAGTTGTGATAAAAAGGCAAATGCAAAGTCAACAAATTGGCCTTATATGATTTAGATACCACATGCTTTGTTACACAGACGTGTGTGTGCCAGGTTTGGATAATGTTAAGGAATCAGGCTTATCTAGTCCAAGATAACAGACAGAGAAAAGAATATTAATATTGAGCATGTTTTATATTTTTCTCTTATTCCTTGGAGAAAATAGTGTTTTATATAAAATAAGTGTTTTTTTTTTTTTTTTTACCAGAATTCCACTCATAATAAAATAATAATAATAATAATAATAATAATAATAATAAAGTATTACATATAATTATATAGTAAATTTGAACTACCAAATATGCTTGTTTCTTCCTATCTAATCAGAAATGTCGGACACGTGTACTCTATCTATACTCATGCCACATGTGTGTTACATGGGTACTTTCCACAAGAAGAAGAGTACATTTAAAATTTAAAATAGACCGCATGCAACAGAAGCTAATCTTTATGTAATCCAAAGGTGTTATTCACATAAGCTAAGGAATTGTATACCAATCAAAAATTCCCCACTGATAGATTAATATTAGGGCATGCGATAGGCATCTTTGGGAAGACCAAGGAATTGTTAGGTGAATCTTGAAGAACCCTCTACCTCAGCATTTTAGAATTCATGAAAAAAGGTCACACTAATAACTTAAGAATACAGAAGCCAGTTCACAAACATGTTTCATATATAATAATATTCTTTTTGTAATGGTTTATTCCATGGGTACTTAGATTCACGGTTTTCTCTTGCTTTACTATACATATTTGTTTAGTTATTGAAAGATACGTTTTATGTAATTTGATACCCTTTTTCAGCCATGAAAGGAGTCAAAAGAACACCTTTTTTTCCTTCCTTTTTTACTGGGGAAAAAAAGCAATTTTAAGGAAGCATGACCTATAATTAAACTTTCACAACAATCTTACACAGAATTTCCTTCATGAATTTCTAGTTCAGTTGCAATAAATTGCATTGTTAAAGTTCTTGAAATGGCTAATGGATATTTAAAGGTACAATATCAACATTGGAAGAAAAGTGTTGTGGCACTTTTAAACTATATTTTACTGATTTTTTCCCTTGAATATTTTATAAACCAGTAAACCACCACAGATCAATCTAGTGACAATTATAACTCATTATTCACATAGGTTTGTTAAGCCCCACTAGTTTGCAGCCACGCAGGCGACACTCGATCCCTGAGGACTCTCCATCTCCATGGCATAAGTAAAATTGATTTCTAAAGTCTGCCATATTTGTGTGGAGAGTGTGGAGTATTGTAGGGAGAGTTGAAAGATTATAGAACATTAGATAACTTATAGAGATTCCTAAAAGATTTGGGAGTTATGTAAGTTGTAAATATATATGATATTTATGTGGAGGGTTCTAGTTCTAGATAGTAGAATTCAGCCTAGTGCCTTAACTGTAATGCATCCTACCTATATATATATAGCATAAAAGTTTAGCCGAACCAAAAAGGATGGCTCTACAAACAAGTGAAGGTGAAGGCCACTACAACACACTAGTTAGGAGCATGCAAGCAAGGTGACACTTCTACTGTCTTGGTGCCGCATAACTACAAATCGTGGCATTTCTAAAATAGTGAATTACTGTACCTATTTTAATGTACTAATGGTGAACAAAAACATACCATTCATTTAATATGAAATATAAACAACCCACCTCAACTAATATTCCATCCCCACTAACGCAAACAATTCCATCATATTTTGAGATATCCAATGTTTTAGCCACTTCTTTTGCGTAAAGCTGGTATTTAGTTTCTGAGAGTTAAAATCATATTAAAAAATTAGTAAAAATCCTAAAATTGTGAAGAATAATGACAATTATATAGAACTAAAACAACAATACAAAAAATACAAACCTTGCACCGTAAATTCAACGTTAGCATCCTCAAACAGTGGTTTCACATCATCAAGAAAAATCTTCGATGCAGATTTCTTTCCTCCAAATGGATTCATTAGTATAAATAGTTTCTTCGGCCTACCTATAATAAAACTTTGTTAGTTACTATTAATTACAAAAATCAAATTGAAAATGAATCAAACCAATTCTATTTTTTTTTAGTGATTCCATTTTTTTTAGACCAAAATACTTTAATCAAAATGAAAAAGTTTTGAAATGTTATCACCACTTCTAATGAGAATAACAGTTGGAAGATTCAAATGTTGCTTATTTTTGTACTCCAGTTTGAAATGTTATCACCACTCCCAGGGGAATAACAGTTGGAAGATTCCTTGTTTTTAAACACCTAACATAGCATATCGATTACATTAGTCTAATTATAATACATCTAACACTAAAACAAAAACAAAAAAAAAAATTACTTGTATAATTTATAATTTTTTTTTTCCGAGTTATATCTAATTTATAACTCATAAACTACACATTCGAGTAAGTCAAATGAAACAAATTTACATGTGCATTCCCATACATAAATATGTGTGTTCCAAAATAATTAGAAAACAAAATCAGATGAGATGGATATTACCAAGAGAATCGATGAATTCTTGAAGCTTTTGGCACCAGAGTCGCAGCGAAACCTCTGATGATGGCTCGAAAATGAAGCTCTTCCTCATCAGAGCTCCCCTGCGCCCGACACAGCAGATCTCATCCCCACCTTTAACAACAGCCCTGATTTTAATTCTTGACCCTTCTATGGAGAACCCGAGAACCTCCTTCTCCACCGCCAAGCACCGGTGGCTGCCGCCCTCAGACCACCGTAATTCGCCGGCGGCGGTGAGTGTAACCGGCGTTACAGTTCCGTTGACAATAACAGGATCCGAAAGTAAGGGCTCTCCACCTTCGGACTGATCCATTCAGATTAAAAGCAGGAATTTCTTGTTCTACTTTTGTGTATTGTATTTGTATACGCAGTAGTTGAACGCCGGCGATTGAAGTTCCAATAGAGAGTGGAGAAATCCGATGGACCGGGTTTAATAGCCAACCCGAGTTCGACTATGGTTGCTTTGAATGGTACGCCAAGTGAGGTGGTGGTTGTTTGTTTGCTTTTGGGTGTTTGGAGAGGTCGCTTTTTTATTTTTTTTGTTTTTTTTTTTCTTGGTCGCATGTTGACTGTATGAATGAGTGGTAGTTAAAGTCAACAAAGGCTAATTGTTAAAAAAAGAAAAAGAAAAGAACACTATTGTACCTGTTCAATTTGTTTTCTTCTTTGAAACTAAAACTGAAGTTTCATTAGTAGGTACAAAACTTGCTTGTACAGTACTAAAGTTTTATTTATTTATTATTATTACTTGGCAATTAACTCTAAAAATAATGTAAGCCCAAATAATTTGTACTGACTCTCGCAAATGAGTGATAATGAAATCAATAAATTGATTCAAAACGGCACCGATTGACAATGGTGCGGTGCTCATAGGAATGTCAATTTTTACCGTCCTGCTGAGTCCTGCCCCGCTAATAACGAATATGAGAATACTTTTTATACCGTTGGGGCGGATACGGATACAAATTTTGTATCCGTCGAGGGTCACGGAACGGGTAAGAGTTCAGTATACATATCCTAAGGGCACCGCCCCGCATATAACTATATTTAATAAATTATATATAATATTAGTAAGTTATTTTAGCGGCTTACCCAATTACCCATCTCTTACAATCCTAATTTGGGATGTAAACTTGGTATAAAATTTGCTTTTGTTTTGGTTATAGTGGAAGTTGGAGCTTAGAACTTCTTGTAATTTGATTGTATTCAACTTTTATTTTTGTTTATTATGTTCTCTGAATTATTTTATGTGTATGTTACTTTTTTATTTTTTTTGGGATACATAATTTTATTTATGTTGTGCCATTCCTAAACTTTGCACATTTAAATAGCAAGAGTTTAAGTTCCAAAAAGTGGGAGAAAAAAATTTGTTAGCGGGGCGGGCACAAGAGCACAGTATTTCCTAACGGGGCGGGGCTAGACATAAAAATCCAACCCGTCGAGAGTCTCGGGGCGGGCATGGACTTGACAAAAATTTAAAAGGGCGGGGCGGGATTTAGGGAAACCCTCTCCAAACCCGCCCCGTTGCCATCTTTAGGTGCTTCCAAAATGATAAAATTAGTTATGAAATAAACTAATTAAAGCAGATAATCTTTGGTATTAATTCTTTGTACCTCACTTATGTTAGCGTATTTCTCAATTTTTATGGGTGAATACTATTCGGTTTGAACCGATTTGAAATTTTTTTGAAACCAAACAGCTCCTAACGGGTTCAAAAAATGTTGAACCAAATTGAATCATTTGATCAAATGAACCAAACGAAACCAAATCGTGAGAAATCAATTTGATTTGGTTCGGTTCCATAGTGCTGTTTTTTTCTTCTTTTTTTCCTTTTAGAGAAGTATTTATATTTCAAAATCCAAATGCATATAATAAACCAATTTAAAAAACACATTCAAAATTGTTAATATATTTAGAATTTTTAATTCATTATTCTCTATTACTTTCTGGAATTGAAGTGAATAAATTTAGAATTACTAATAACCTAATACATTCAGAATTACTAATTCAACAATAGACATTCAGTCACAATTCATAAAATCAACAAAATTCAGCCATTGTAAATCAATAAAAAAATAAGAATCATCTAATAAATTGATAAGAATTTAGAGAATTAAAAGTGGATCGTAAGATTGATAGTTGTTACAAACTTCTAATTAATTTGGATTGCATGATTATATATATATAATTTAACATATATGTAACTAAACGGTTTAGTTCGGATTAGTTCAATCCTAAAAGACCTCAAACCGTGACCAAACTATATTTTTACGATTTCACAAATTTGGAACCGTGACTAAACTAAACCGTTAACAAACCGAACCAAACTGTCCGGTCCGATCTAAATTTTCAATTTGATTGAATTTTTGTGCACCCCTACTCAATTTCATCACAGTACCTTATTTGAGATGAATAAATCTTTAATTAGGATGGAGTCTTAAGTTACTGGCATGTATTGCTTATTATAGTTGTGAAGGCTTTTATCAAAAATTTAAATTTCAATCTAACTTTATCCCTCAAACACCTGATACCTTACTTGTTGCTTATTATAGTTGTGAAGGCTTTTATAAAAAATTTAAATTTCAATCTAACTTTATCCCCCAAACACCTAATACCTTACTTGTTGGTCTGGTCTTTGCTTTTATAGTTGCGAGGGCTTTTATCGTAAATTTAAATTTAAATTTCAATCTAACATTTATCGGTCAAACTCCTGGGCGTTGATCCCATTATATTGTGTACAACGCATACACTTAATATTACGTGTGAATTACTATTATTTTGCGTAGACCGCGTACACATTTAATATTAGAATAATACGTAGCAGTGCATTTGTTGCTTGGGAATAATACGTAGCAGTGCATTTGTTGCTTGGGAATTGGGTACTTTAGTTGGTTCCTAAAATAATAGTAAAGAAGAATAGGGATGGTAAAGAAGAATAGTGATTTTAGACCTGCACTGAAATGGCCTCAAAATGTAGGTAATTTTTTGAACACTAAAAGAGTATTTGAACAATGGGTATATAACCAAAAAAAAATACACTTTATCCTATTTGTTTTCACTACTAATTAGGTCTCGCTTTTTTCCTTTTGGCAAAAACTGCACCCTTAAAAAGAAAGTAGGACATTTTCATGATACCTGAATTAACAAGTAGAGTGATCCAAAATCTTCCATTAAAAATAATAATATAATTTTCAATTAAAATACTTTTAGATTACTAGATAAGCATTATTTTTTACTAATAAATTTTAAAATTTTTAATAGGGATGGGTCATAATGGAATTAGGTGGTCTTCTCATTTGTCTTTAGGAAATGTCCATACACTCCGAATCAGAGTTAACTTTGCAATACTTTGATTTTCTGTATAGTTTTAAATTTGGATAGAATTCCTACCTAGTAGTATTATTATAAGAAATAAAAATTTTATAATATTTGCATTCCATTTTTATATTCTTTCATTTATTTCTTAATAAACGAAATAGCACATTTATTCCTTCAAAAATGGAGTATTTTAAATGTACCTTTAATTTGTATAACTCTTGCTACAAGCATCATTAAAAATACGCTGGATAAAAGGTATAATTCGTTACAAAAAATAAAAAATATATTGATATGGGAAGTTCGAAACTAGAGAATTAGACACTCTATCAACTAGGCTCGTATTTGGAGGAATAAAATCTGTAAATGATGATTGATGACTCATCTTTCTCACTTAAACAACTTATATTCCTTTCTGGGAACCAATATTTTAAACTCACCACACACATATATATCATGGTTCGCAGCACTAGTCATCGTCGTAATATAGCTGACTCGGACAAAATTAGTGTAAATTGGCCAATATAGATCGCGTATCAGACTTGTATATATTGATATGGCGAATCATAATGTGTGTGTGTATATATATATTTCATATTTTTAGGTTACAATTTGATCTAATATTTCAAAATACATACGTTGGGAATCTTCAAATTCGCTCTTCGACATGTTACAACATTTATAGAAAATACGTTCGCCAATCTAATATTATTTCCAAATTGATCTAAACAAGCACATTTATATGCCCGACTCGCATTAAGTTCAGGATTTCAAAGGGATGCAAGTAAAAGTGAATCTTCTGGTCTGAGATTTTATGTTTTGGGGTAGGAAACCATTCCACATAAGGTAAATTGGTACTGTCAACTCTCACCATTGCTTTAAAATTTCAAGATGGAGCCATAAAATTGTATAAAAGGGATTGTTTTGAACAATCAATTTATATAATGTGGTATTATTAAAAATTAAGTGAGGATATTTTTAATATTTTAACAAAAAATATATATATATATATATATATAAATTTGTAAATAAAAACATTAAATAACATCTGCCTCCACTGTTATCGTCCATGGTCATGTTATATGATATTTGGAAAATTTCTCTTTGCATCACTAAATTCATTTGGTTAAGAAAAATGATACTCTTACCAAGTTAATGTAACACTACTCATAAATATATAAACAATCTGTATTGTCGATTGCAACATATAAATTGAACATTAAGAATATAAACAATCTGTATCGAGATAAATTAATAGACTCAGCTATATTGAATGTTTAATAGAAACAGTCTGTACAAATGGATTGCAACGTATAAATTAAAATTAAATACTAAGAATACAAACAATCTTTATTTTAATAATATAATTATCAAATAATAATTATAATAAGAAGGTCAATGGTTCAAGTTTTATAAGGGCATGTGAGTGTGTTTTCTTGTCAGCAAAAAGAAAAAAAAAAATTCTATCAACTAATAATTATAAAAACATGGCATCATTGGTTCAAAGTAATCTGTGTGGGTTTCACACCAGTGAAGTAATAACATCATGAAAGTTAACACTTTATGCACCGAAAAAGAAAGCAATTTAAATAATGAATTTAAAAAATTCAAATGTAAATGAATATGATTTGAAATATTTTTTTTCGGGACTCAGTTTCGTTTAGATATTTTTATTTCATTTACATATTGTCCTGCACATTATTTATATTCATAATTTTTAAAATACATCTACACATATAAAAACATTTTCCTTACCGGCCACTCATCAAATTATGTTAATTAGTATGCTAAAGAATATAAATTTAATTATATTTTTGGTTGGTTGGATTAGTGAGTGGTAGAAGCAGAGTTTTGAAAATTTTAGTTTCTTGCACCGAATATAATATAAATATATACACACAAGTATGCATCCTTCATTCAACAAATCAGATGACTAACTAAAAAAACGCCGTTGCCGGGGATCGAACCCGGGTCACCCGCGTGACAGGCGGGAATACTCACCACTATACTACAACGACCCGTTTGTTCGTTCGCTGAAGCGATTTAATCAAGACTGAACTAGGATCCTTAGGCAATTTGAGCTTGCGTATTAAATTTATATAATTTTTTTTTTGAAACTCGCACAATAATTTTATTTTTTAAGACCTGAAAACCTTATAAGAAGTAAAATTTGACCAAACTCAAAAATATTTGGTCATATATTAAATAAGTAAACAACAAATTGTACTAATTTCTTTGAATTGGTCAATTTTGAACTAGATCGCAATATTAGGATTATAGTTCCAAACATCATAGTTCCAAACATCATATGAATAGAGTGGATGGTTAAAAAAAAAAAAAAGACTTAATATCATAAATTTATTATATTTTTTTCTGTAAAGTGAAAAAATAATCCTTTTAATATATAGTATGTGCTAAAAATCTCCTCGCGTTTAAAAAATAAAAATAAAAATAAAAATAAAAATTTCCTTACATTTTTCTAACTAATAAGGATATTTTCTCAATTTAAAATTGAAATACCTAAAATGCACTTAAAACAAAATAAAAAATACTTAAATGTACAAATTTTAATAAAGATGTTATGGAGTTTTTATGAAACAAATTGGTCAAAATTGACGACCATGGAGCAATTTGCACATATTTTCAAATGTTAGAAATTTTATATGCTGATATTAAACTCTAAGGGTGTTTGTCCCAGGGTATATTGGCGTTGGTAAGAATCCGTGAGATAAGTTCTTGAGGTTTGGCTTTTAAACTGTATTCTTGACTTGAATGATGCGTATGTTGTGGGGTCAATACAAATGCTATAAGAAGAAGAATAAGCAAAAAATAAATAAATAAATAAATAATAAAAAACTATTAGAGTGTTTTTTTGCACATTCTTTATATAATCTTTTTTTGTTTGTTTTATTTTATTTATTTTTACAGGTGACCTATCTTTTTAGAATATTTCCACATAAATTGAGTACACAATGTTAAGTAATATCTGTTTCAGAATTATGTTCGACAGTTTGAGCTATTGATGGCAAAATAGATGGCCCGAATGGTTACAGGGGCTTAGTTTTGGGGCTGAGAAGGGGGCTAGGATTGAAAGTCTGAATGGTTATTAGTGCGGGAGTGAAAAAGGTCATCCGTGCTCGTCTTTCTTGTTTACAGTGATAAATTACAATATCATATATATATATATATATATATATATATATATATACTTTGTTTTATGTTAATAATATGAGTTAAATATTAAACAAATCTTAATTTGTTCAATTACTAAAATCTTAATTTCTTTGTATATATATACTTTGTTTTATATTAATAAAATGATACAAAATATTATTTTATATTATTTTTATTTTTTTAAAGCACATGTATCAATATCATAACACATTTTGATGTGAACATGGGGTAAAAATAAAAATGGGGCAAGAATAAAAAAAATTAAACTAGACGGAATCAGCTTTCCTCGCCCATACCGCCTCGTTCCCATCACTAGTTTGAGTTATGAATTTTGGCAAACTAGGCTCAGACATTTTCCCTAGGGAAAATAAATTGATTCTTTAACCTAATATGGCTGTAATTAGATAACCATGGATTTGATGCTAGGTTTGGCTTTAAGCTCCATTTTATGTACAGCATAATACTTCAGTACTAAATCCCTCTTGCAGAAATTTCCCAGCAATTATTTGTATTTATATATTTATTTATTTTTGGCGGTAACGGCAAATCTGAAAACATCCCCAAATCGTCGCCGAGCTTGGAGTGGTGTCTTGTCTGCACAGAAGAAGCAATGGGGGAAGAAGAAGCGCAGCAACAACCGACTTCGGACACGGAAGTTGCAGAAGAAGCAAGCGAGCAAGTGTACTCTTGTCCGACGATTCGTTTCGATGTACCTCCGGCCAGAACCTACCACTTCTACCGCCAGTTCAGGGGGACCCCTTCAAACCCTAACAATTTTCTCAAATGCGTCAAATGGTAATCTTTTTTTCCTACACTTCTTTTGAGTATCGATTATTAAGTTTGTTTAACAATCTCTTCCTATTCTAGGTCGACGGACGGTTCTTGCTTCCTTACAAGCTCCAACGACAACACCTTTCGTTTATTCACATTGTAAGTCTCTCTTGCATAATAATACGTACATATCATATATATCAACATTACCTGATATTAGTTTAAGATAATTCAGACATTTGGATTTATTTAAATGTGGCTTTGAATTGATACTACGGATTGTTAGTTACATGTATGTCTGATGACTTGGTAGTTCTTCCGAGTCTGACTAATTTGTACTTTGTTCTTCTTTAGACCAGATAATGATAGTGGGAATCATCTAGATGCTTGTTCTCTAGCTGCTGATGCAGGTTAGTTTGTACTCCCATATTTCTTGATTTTATCTCTGATTCATCTTATTTGAAAATTTTCTCCTAATGGTTTAGTTCTATGATTTTATTATCTCTTTTGTTCGTATTCGTAATTATCCTTCACAAAGTTTTGTTTCTGTGCAATATTTAAGCTGTTCACAAAGTTTTGTTTCTGTGCAACATTTAAACTGTTTTGGTTTGAGTTAGTTTCAGCCGTTAATCTTTCAAGTTTATTCGTTATACTACTCCTTACAGTGTTTACAAATAGCTGCAGATTCATATGCTGCAGATATTGTTTTGAGTGAGGGAGAGTCTATTTATGACTACTGCTGGTACCCTTACATGTCTGCTTCAGGTGCATCTCTTAACTGTCTTGATAAAGGGATATTATCTTCCACCTGCCATCAGCATAAAATCTCTATTGTACCAAGAGATATACAGGAGTTAATGATGTAAAAACTTAAGTTTGACTAGAATGCTGGTTGACATTTCAGATCCGGTGACCTGTGTGTTTGCAAGTACCACACGTGACCATCCTATTCATCTATGGGATGCTACTTCAGGCCAGGTGTTGAATCAATATTGCTTAAATGATTTTATATTGGTGATAAGTTTCTTGTTAGCTTCGATAAAGGTTTATTAGTAGCTCTGTTATACATTGAAAGTTGATGGCCATCTTATGGTGCTCCAATGCTTCACATTCATAGTGATGGTCTAATGGCTCACTTAATCTCTTAAAATGCCTCTTTATGCCCGATGACTGTTCCTTGTGAGTTGAGTATACTGCTGGAATGATGTTTTTAACAGATTTAACCCTCCATTATGGTTTCTCTATGACTATATTAATATAGTAACTGTTGGTTTAAACTGGAAATGACAGCTGCGTTGCACTTATCGGGCGTACGATGCCATGGATGAAATAACTGCTGCATTTTCAATTGGTTTCAACCCCTCTGGGACTAAGTAAGCATTACCTTAAATGGTTCATAATTTGGCTATTATCACCTTCAGGTCTAAAACAATGCTGGTTTCTCACATGTCCATTTATTTTAAATCCTGCCTACAACTTGGTGGTATCATACTTTGAGCTATGACAGCTTCATCACATACTGAATATGGCATATATTTCTTGCACTTACGTGGTTTTAGAAATAAGTGTTACATGATTTATTAAGATGAAGTATCTCATTTATTGACGTGAAATATCCCACCCCCTTCGTGGGCGGGACTAATCTCTTTGGATACCCACAATCATCCCCAAATCACGAATATTGGGCAAGTTCAGGGATTTTTTTTTTTTTTCTAGCCTTGGAATTGACAAAAAGATTTCTAGCTATGTTATTGGGGGGATTCGGGTATGGTTATTGGCTACGGGTACGTGTCTAGAAGTAGGTTTCATCCATTTCAAAATTATACTACAGCAGCGCGTGGATGACAACAATCTTCAACCTGCAAAGCAACCTAATTTTGAACTGGGAACCCTAATTTCAAAGCAGAAACTATCATTCACATCACAGATGATACCTGGTCTAACAAATAAAAAATCCTCACAACCAATCACCGAAACAACCATCCATAAGCTTCTTTTCATCTGCCGTGTCCGATAGCTGTGAAAGAGTGTTTGACCCATATCTTGTGTCTGTTCTGTGTCATGTCGACATGGACTCCTTGGGGTAACATAGCGAGTCCAGGTATCATGGGTCTTTAGGTCAGGCCCAGAGGCCTTATGCTAACTATGCTACCCCATGAAGGTTGGCATGAAATATATCATTAGTCTTTTATAGTCTTTTGAATGCCATGTTTTTTTCGTGCTTTTGCTGACAAGAGAATACTACAGGAGACCTAGCATAAGGATCTCTAACTTCTAGAAAGCTGCTGTATGATTTTTGTTTTTTTTTTTATCAAGATTTCAGGCAACACCATTAAGATGCAATCATCCACACATAGGACAAGAATATGGTTGTCCTTTCAAAGCACACAAATGCTTTGTGTGCTAGCTAATTTTCTGTAAAAACATGCAAATTACCACTGAACTAAATCTTGTTTAATCAAGTTTGTCTTTTCTAATAATAAGGTTGGTACCTTACTTCACATGATCATCATTACAGTTGTAAGTATTTTTTGGCAGTAATGTTTGAGCATTATTAATTTTTATTATGCTACTATAAGTAACCACTTTTGGAGAGCATAGCTGAAAAACTACCACAATGACTTCTGAAACTAGTTAATATCCTGTAGCTTTTGGAGTGCTGGTAAATTATGATGAAGTTGTACTGCATCTCAAAATATGCTGTTGATAATTGTTCTCTACTGCGGGTTCAAATCCTGAGAGTAGTTACATTGTGCAGAAAATGCCAAATGTTAGGTCTATACTCTATATCTAGTTTACCAATTAACGGGGATCACAACCCTTTTCCTTTATTTTCTGTGCTTTTCAGCTGCACCTCCATTTTTCTCCTTTTATATTTTGTAGAGTAGGTTTTAATAAAATTTAAATATTAATTTACAATTGGGACTGAGTAATATTTTTCCCATGAATTGTGTTGCAGGATATTTGCTGGATATAACAAATCTATCAGAGTATTTGATATTCATCGCCCTGGTAGAGATTTTGCGCATTATTCAACTCTTAAAGGAGATAAGGAAGGGCAGTCAGGTAGCTGATCAGAGATTCAATATAGATCAGATCTATTTCGGAAATAATAATATATTGTAGTATAACTCAAATGGACTAAAAAGAAAATCAGAGTGATGCTTTATATGTCTTGTGTAGAGCTGTTAGCTGTGAGTTCTGCTCCTATTTTAAAAATACTATTTGTAATGAACAAACTATTTATGGAAAATTACCTTATTCATTGCCAAAATACTATCAATCAAGAGTCTGCCCTGAAATTCTTCCTTATCTTTAGGTATTATATCTGCTATTGCTTTTTCTCCAAGTCATACTGGGATGCTTGCTACGGGTTCCTATGACCAAACTACTGCAATCTACAGGGAAGATAATATGGAACTATTGTACGTCTTACATGGCCAAGAAGGTGGAGTTACACATGTAAGTGGCACATGTTGTCATTCACTTCTATTATTTATTATTATTATTATTATTATTTTTTAAAACTCGCATTCCCATTTTGCCTTTATTGGGACTTTAAAACTCTCTACCTTTCAACTCTACCTTTTACTTTGAAAGGTGAGAAGTACCACTAGGCTCACTTTTAATTCTATATGCAGAATTTGCAAATAATTCATTCAAATACAACAATTTTTTTTCCAGGTACAATTCTCAAAAGATGGTAATTATTTATATACAGGAGGGCGAAAGGTACAATTTTGTACATATTCCTTTCTTCCATCTGATTCATTTCTACTTATTCCTTCTATCTACAATTTTGTATATGTAGCTCATGTCCTTAGAAGTAAGGACAAAATACGACACGGATACGCTAACACGTCAAATTCTAAAAAAGTAGGACACGGACATGGCGTGGACACGGTTAATATAAATATAATTTTTAACTTATATATCTATTGAATGAGACAATCATGGAATTTTAATTAATTTTTAAATTCTGTAGTAAAGTTACGTAAGTTAGAAGATGACGCTATTTGAATATAAAAAAGAATATGTTATATTATATATGATATTACTATCTTATCTTGTCATTATAGATATGTTTTTGTTCCTTGGAGGTTGAACACTTTAATGTATGTTCATAATGTTGTTTTCAGGATTATCGTGTGTTTGTTTTATATAAGACAAAAAGTGCAGTGGACTTCTTGCGACGTCGCTAGCAGTAGGATGTGTTGGTCGAGTGTTCGGAATGTGTTGACCAAGTGTCTTAAAGGTGTCGACCAAGTGTCTTGAATGTGTCAGCCAAGTGTTTGAAATTATAAAATTTATTATTAAATAATGGACACGGCCATGATGTGTCGGACACATGTATAGGAGTGTCCAAGAGTGTCGGTGTCCGACACGATGTTGGATACGAACACGGAACCTCATAGAAGTGTCCGTACTTCTTAGCTATTGTCAGTGAACATTTGTTTTGGAAATTGTCTAGTGGGTAATAACTAAGTTAGGTTTTCTCTTCGCTTCACACTAGAGGACATGTGTCAGCACAAGATGTTCATGTCCCTGACATCCCAAAATAATGGAAAATTTATTGAAAATTGGAAAGTAGATACAGAACAGACAAAATTTGACAAGCATCCACATCCAACACAACCTAAGCTCATGTAACATCGAATATTGATACTTGTAAAGTTCAAAGGTGAAAAAATTAGGTTGCATTTATTGTTGGCATTCAGCTATTCAGAGGTGAAAATTTTATCCAGAACAGTACTATTGCTATCAAGTATTTTTGATGGTGAATCTCTTGAATAATCTTAGTCATATTTGGGTTTATTCCGATTTTTCTAAGAGGATAATCCCTCCATTTTCTTCTTATTATTATTCTTATCTTTCGTTAGTAATTTAGTTCTTTAAAAGTTTTCATGATCATCCAGTTGACAAGCTAGAATTTGGATAGATGAAATTCATGATCATTCAGATAGAATTTTTGAAAGGAAATCTATTTCTTATGCGAATTTGGATAGATGAAATTCAATGTTTGACTTACAGCAAATATTATTGGAGGTTTAGAACTGAGCCACAGGGTATGAGATTTTCTGTGGAATCCCTTCACACAGCAAAAAAACTGCAAATGTTTTGTTATGATCTGATGAGAGGTCTATCAAGGTAGAGCTTCAGGGGATTTTTAGTACTTTAATTCATATTATCATAAATATTGTATATTGTTTAAATTTTTGCGTGATGTGCATCATTGCTACCATCTACATTATGTGACCGTCATTGATTGTTTCCACATGCTAAGTTTTGCTGCCCCAAGCACATATCGTTGTGATTGTGCAGCAAAACTGCTCTTATAGCATCAAGTTTCCATGTATTTCTGAATCATACATGCATTTGACGAAGTTCTATCCTAAAATTTGTTGTAGGACCCTTATATACTATGCTGGGACATACGCAAGGCTGTTGACATTTTGTACAAGTAAGTCTGGTGTTTTTTGTTTTTGTTTCCAGAACAGGCAGTTGTTATCTGATAAGATTATCGGTAATCTGTAGTTGGGGTAATTCATCCGTAGTTTGAGTCTTGGTTTCGTAACTGACAATGACTCAATATTGCATACAAGAGCATGTTTCTAATTTAATGATAAAGATATGTGACAATTAAGAGGTAATTAAGAATAGCCTGAGGAATGAAATGGATAACACGGCCAGCTTGATGCATAGAGCTTACCTTATGCAATTACTTTGTTTGGAGAGAAGAGCTTTATGTGCTCGTGTTACCTTGTGTTCATCCTGTTATTAGGCTATACAGATCATCAGAAAGTACCAATCAGCGGATATCGTTTGATATAGAACCCTTTGGTCGATATCTCGGTACTGGTGGTCAGGTATCATTTTAGCTTTTATCCTTTTCTATTTAGCCAAAATAAACTTAACTAATTCAAATACCTTAATATTCTTGCAATCTTGCTTCCAGGATGGTTTGGTTCATATATATGATCTTCAAACAGGGCAGTGGGAGTCAAGCTTCCAAGCGGCATTGGGTAATACAATTCCATATCTTCATACTCAAATAATATTTACTTGTCATTATTCTTGGTTTCTTCTGTTTCTAATTAGTTCATTCACTTTCCATGCAGACACTGTTAATGGGTTCTCTTTCCATCCATTTCTGCCAATGGCAGCCTCTTCATCAGGGCATCGAAGATTTGGAATTCTTGATGAGTCTGAGGAGGATTTGGTCTTGAATGGTATTTCTGAGTCTACTTTTGCAAACCCCTGTATAGGGACTATGGAATATCCGTTGAACCATTCATGGTTTTCTGCATTCACTGTGTTAAATTTTCCCATGCCTTCTGTCCTTTGATGTGTGTTCACTAATTTCCAAGAGTCTCTGTTTGGGGTCTTATGTTGCATTGCCATTCTGATTATTTGGATGTTCTTGGTTGCTGCATGCTGCTTTCAACATTGATACCATGTACACACACACACACACACATATATATAATGTACATTATATGCAGAATTACAAACACACACTAATACATTGTTTCTATTTAAAAGGCTATGTAAGCATATAGGCAGACAGGTTAAACATGTAGGTTTTCTTTAATTGGCAGTACATGTGGTCAAATTAGATTTTGGTCTTTCTGGTGTAGAGTTGTGATATAGCTCTTCCTCTCCCCTGAGTTAAACCGTAAGTATATATTAGTTCTCTACTTCTCATATATTTGTATTAGTGTAACAATTGAGGTGGTTTATAATGGGATTCAAAAGGAATTTTGGAGAATCACACTGTTTTCTGGTATTTTGATTTTGCACTTCTTCAGTCAATGTGATTTAGAAAGATGAAGCGATCATGAAATTACACTGTTCTACATCATCATCATGATTATACATTGTGTGACTTGTGAAAGTCTTTACATGTACGCAGGGAACAGAGTAGGAAGTCACCGCTTAATTAAGAATGACTGTTTAATTTATGTTTCAACTGAAGTTTAGATACTTTGTTCTTTGTTAGATTATACTTGAAGTAATAAAATGCCAATGAGAATCCAGGTGAACTGAAGAATTTAAATGTGAGTAGATAATTTCATTTTCTCGAGTGGAGGATACGCGATGAATTTGGTAATAGATGTCAGACAAGAGACAAACTTATTCCTTTGAACAATGCATCTTCCGTTTCAAGGCAAATAGTGTTATTTGAAGAAATTTGTTGTCCCTTACTTATTTTGGTTTTGCTTTAACGGTTATTCTTATTTTAAATTTGAGCTGTACTTGTTTTAGTTGAGTACCTGGGAATGAAATTAATGAATATGATATTCACAAATGATGTACTTTTTTTTAGGTGATGAAAACTGTGCTTCTGTGTGGACTTTCTCTTATGATTCAATGGTGGACAATGCTGCTAGCATTGATTTGGGGGATTTTAAAGGTCAATCTGAACATGGCAACCTTTGTTAGTATCCTTGACTACACAATTGCCTTTGTATTTCTACATATATTTCATCATACAATCTTGTATAGTAACTGATTGGGATGAACTTTGTCTCCGCGCTCTACTGTTGTTTCACTTGTTAGTTACAGACCATTGAAAGTCCCCATTCGGCAGTTCACGCATTCCCTTTGAGTTGTATAAACTAGTTCCTGTTTCCAGAGCAGCTGTTGAAATTTTTGCTATTTTAATTTTACCATATTGTTATCCATTGAAAATTGTAGAAACCAAATCAGATACTGTGCACGCACACCGTGTGTGTTCAGCCCATGACGAAAATTCCAGCCATCCTTTCAATAGCACTTAAAAGTCACATGGTCCACCAGAGCTTTATTTTCATAGAGAAAGAGGATTTCCTGTTTTTTTTTTTTTTTTTTGGGCAAACTAGGTGGAACTTGAACACAGGCAAATTCGTTCGGAGAATTGGACGTTCTACCAACTAGACCTTTTTTAATGTTGCTAGAGATAGCAAATTTACAAAAAAAAAAAAATAATTGTCTTTTTACCTTGGTTCTGGCAGTTTAAGCATGTTTAAATTTAGGCATTGGGCAGGGGTTTTTTAATTGTTCGTATGACTCAGGCGACTATTTTATCGTATTGCTGCAGAAAAAGCAATTTCCAAAAAAATAGGTAACTTATTGATCGGTTGTAAAATGTTTTACCTGACAAAATTTCAACATCAACTATGAAAAAAAATTTAACATCTAAAATGTCATCTCAGACCTGATTAATCTGACCTAATTTTAAGGATAATGATTTTTACATTAGTTTTAAAGATAATGATTTGGAGCAACTCTAACTTATTTATCTGAGTGGAGTTGACATAATCATGTTGTTACGATGACATTAATATATTTTTGTATAAAATTTTAATCGAATTTGTTGAAGGTTGAATTATCTATCATTACTCTAATTTTAATTGTTCAATTTTATCCAATCGGATAATGGAAGAGCTCTTTAAAGCAGTCTTAAAGAAGGGGTTTTAAAAGGGGAAAATGGATCCCCATAATTTTCAATTTAGTTGTATGCTTCAATTAAAAATGAATTTATGGTCTTGTAAACCAACTTTGGTTAACCAAAAACTTCTATAAACTACTTGTGTGTTAAATATGTGAATAGATTTGTTATACTTCACATTGATGAGACGTAATCGTACGGTCCTAGAGAGAAAAGATGATGGCCCGGTTTATGGACAAAATGACGAAGTAAAAATTGGAAAAATGACACCATTGTTGAAAAATGTAAAATCATTTATGAATAACTTTGTGAGGCAAGCAGTAGGACCTATAGCATTCTAAGAAAACAAGTTAGTGTCATTATAAATTTTAAAAAACTTCATATTATTATTTTTTTCTTTTCACGTCAAAGGAAAAATTAACTTGGCAAATCTATGGCTCAAACTCAAGAAAATGGAATGTTCATAATTGTTAAAAGTATTATCACTCTTGTTCTTATTCCATATAAATGGGTGGACCACATGAATATATATATATTTTTTGTTATCTATCATATATCTTTTAAATTTTTTTTAGATCATTCTTGATCTTATATAATAAGTTTAGTCTATTCTTTTTAGTCACTTACCTCTTAGGCAAATAACTATTCTTCTACTAACTGATTTGGGTTTAAGTTGGTCATACCTTACGTCACACAAAGTTAGAACGAGAAAGCAACAAAATTTAGGTCACAGAAAGTGGAGTGAGAGCGAGAGCAAGAACGAAACGTGAGAATGGAAGTGCGCTCGGAAGATGAGAGCAACACTCGTTTAGAAGAATTGTGTTGTATTCTCATCATACTTTAATTATTAATTTTATCTTTTTTAATTACTCCTATCATACACACGCTCATTATTAAGTTCATTTATTATTATTTTTTTAATTATTTTTTTCTTCTTCTTTTGAGACCGATAGAAATGAAGCGACTCTTTCTCAATCTATATTATAAATATGTCTTCCCTCACAACGCTCCCAATTCACTCTGCGTGATTGCAATTATAATATTTTTGCTTTCGCTCCTGTTTTATGCAACTTAAATCATGATTTTTTCTCCATTCCTCTCGTATATTATCATAACGCACATCCTTCCTACTAGTTATTTTCATCATCCAAAATAGCATTATCTTGTTTCGTTTACACATTTATTATTAATTTTATCACTTCTAATTTCTACCATCATCCACCCTAGCATTTGTCGTTCTTGTTTCATTTTTCTCATAATCGTAAAAGGCAAACAAAGAAAAGGGCAAGCAAAATCTTGTCTCCCTGTGACATTCTAGAAACACATTCCATTTAATTTTATTATTAAAAAAGTCTGGATTTTAAATAAATAGAAAACTTATTGAAAAGATGTTGACTTATCCTTCTTGCACCTGATACAGAAACACTTTATTGACGGTGACAAAAAAAAAAAAAAAAAACACAAATTGTGTATTAATTATTAGGTGAAGGATAACATAATCCCATTTAATTTAAGTATATATTGATGGAAAAGAACCCGTGTAATTAATACACAATTATATAATATATATAAATCTAGTGAAGAGGGGAATATTATTATAATAATCATCAATATCCAGGTCATCAGATGCTACACAACGAACTTTTATTCGGATTTCCCGGTCCACAACTCAAAACAATAATTACCAATCGATGAAAAGCACGAGGTCGTTTTGCTAGTATATGAAGCAATACGCTGCCGTTTCTGCTTGTTGGACCACAGCCTGACTACATACCATGTACGAATTAAAAGTAAATCAGTCTTAAGCTAAAATTTATCACCAGTAGTAGTGGTATATACATGATTAAATATAAGTTAATATATATACAACATATATCTATAATCTAGCATGAAAGGAAAATTCCTTCCCTGCATTAAAACCCTAAAAACACTCTGGCCTATATTTTCTCTACTCATTACATGATAGGAATCATAAAATTTTCTTTTTTCCCATGTTAGTTTTCTCCATTCAAATTTTCTTATATGATCCTGCAAAGTTCATGCATGATTGATTGATGGCCTCTCAAAGGTTGAAGATGAAGAATCAGACAGTGGTAGTACCACATAAGAGAATCAAGAGATTTGATGACAATGGCAGTGGTACTACCAGTACTGATCATCTTTACCTCAATCTTGATCATGATGTTGTTGAAAACATCTTCTCTTTCTTGCCCATCAAAAAGGCGGTGACGCTTTCTCCTCTCTCAACGAGATTCAAGAATTCATGGCGTCTCAGCCGGAATCTTTGTTTCGATTTTGATTTTGCTAGACTCCGGTCTAGAGCAGAATTCATGACAATAGTTAATCATGTTCTAAATTCTCATACTGGTTCCAAAATCCAAAGGTTTCGGTTATATTTTGATCCAGCCAATGTGGGGACTCTAGTGGAGTATTGGATCAAAATGGTGACCTCTAAAGATGTTGAAGAGCTTGATCTAGACTTCACAGAAGCAAGAGACCCTTTGAAACTCTCTTATGATCTCTTAGATGTTGAATCTATAAGAGTTTTGAAGTTAGCTTATTGCGTGATTGATTTGCCTCCAAAGTTGAAAGGTCTGTGCTTGTTGAAAACTATTGTTCTTGAGCAGGTTGATGCCGACCCAATACTCATCAAGACACTCTTGTCTAACTGTTTGCTTCTCGAGTTCTTAAATTTGGTTCAGTGCTCTAAAATTTTTGATCTTAATGTTTTTGGTGTAAACTTGAGAAGGTTTAAAGTGTTGACAGTGAGGAACTGCTATGATATTTCAATGATCAACATTGATGCTCCAACTCTTCGCGCGTTTCATTACAAGGGGGTTGTTCACAACATCAACTTCTATAGCCCAATGCCAAAGTTGAACGATGTGACCATCAATTTTGATGCAAGAGGTTTTCCAATGGTTTTTCAAATCAGTGACCTCCTAATCGGTTTCAGTACTGTTGCTGTTCTAACAGTTAGTAGTACATTTCTTGAGGTAATTTTCTTTGTTCCTTCCTTTATGTTTCCTTTTCTAATCATTCATCCATGTATCGTATACGAAGGGAGTCTTGGCGCAACGGTTAGGTTTTTCATCGTGACTTGAATGTCACGCTTTGGTTCTGACTTACTTCAGATCTCGCAATGGCGGGAGCCTTATGTATTAAATTTGCACGGCGCCCCCTTTACAATTAGTTTTAAAAAAGGAAAATAATTGAAAATCTGTTAGTCGGACTAATTCGACCGTTTTACTTAAGTGTGGGATGACATCATCTTTCACTCACATTAATGCGTCCGACTTTCGGACGCTGTATCACGACTCTTAAAAAGAATTAATTGGATCCTTATTTATATATATGTATCAAAATATTAATTTCAATAAGTTCGTTTATATTCTAGAATAAGAAAAAAAAATAAGACTTTGTTATTGCTTTTCAATTTAAGCCTTTTGAAATTTAATCTCGTACTCTTATATATATGGTTATTTATTGATCTTATGTAAAAATTCAGGGAGTGTCTCAAAGATACGAGGATGGCAATCTTAAACAACCACAAATGTATTTGTATAACGTGAGGGAGATTCATTTATGGATAGAAAAGTCCAGCTATATTAATCCTTATGACATTGCTTCGTTGCTCAAGAATTCTCCACACTTGGAGAGAATTTTCATTGATGTAGGTGATTCCATTATTTGAAATTCGTTTGTTGTTCATAATTTTATTGTTCTTTATCATGATCTTTAATATATAATTTTTGCAGTTTGGAGAATTTTCCTTCGAGCCGAGATTATACTGGGAATTGCATGGAAAGAAAAAATTTGGGATGTGCACCCCATTTTTTGAAAGTGTGAGGTTTATTAAACTGGTAGATTTCAAATTGGGATCGCTTGAATTGGAGATGATGAAGTTTTTTCTGAAGAAGGCCAGGTTTTTGCATAGTTTGGTTATAGTACTATCCAAGAATGATACTGCAAAATATTTTTCACAAGATCGCACTGTGTATGACTTTCTTTTTCTTTCTTGGAAAGCCTCTTTAGTCACTAGAATATATATCTATGAGTATCAAAAGGACCAAAGTGGTGTTCATCCAAAGCATTCAAAGTATTGATGATACTGATGACTATGCAAATTGAGTCTTGCAGCTTGGGTTTCTTCCGAGGGAATGGTCTCTTCTCAGGGTGGAATTTGCCTCTCAGGTTCATCAGCAGCAGCAGCTGATCTATGTCCCTCCATTGTAGATGAGTTTTGCTCTGGGATTTCCGTTTTCAGAGCAACGTTCCTCTGCCTTTTGAATTGGAGTTTGGTGGTGTTTCTTTGTTGTTTGGGCTGTTGTCTAGGTTTGTTTCTTGTAAGGCCCATCTGTTTGTAACTTTACTTTTATTAATTTTTCATATTTGCTTTGCCTTTCATTTTCATTATTATTATTATTATTATTTTGAATCTATAACTATAGGATTAACATATATGCGCAATCTATAAATAATTAACAGATCGATATGCCATTGACAATACTGAGCCTTGTATTAGAAGGGGTTGACATGTATTTTTCTTTGAATTTTAATTTTTAATATACAGGAAAATTCACACATTTACACCTAGTAATTATTTACAATAAATTTGGAAAAATTACAGATACAAAATAAATATACAAAAATTACAAAATTTTCAGCTAACAATAATTTACCTTATCCAAATTAGAGGAATTCTAAAAACTAAATGGACTACTTTTACCTATAAGTTAAAGATAAATGGATGGGCTGGGGAGTAGACCTTATTCTTTGAATATTCAACTCAATTTTTTTTATTTTATTTTTATTTTTTCCGAAATGTAATTTTCAACTCATTTTGCCATACAAATGGAGATGGGTCTTAATCTCCTTGTTATGATAATAAATAAATAAATAAATTTTGCTTGTTGATAACATCGGTCCAAACCTAAAGGCCAATCTACCAGTTCCATAATATATATATATATATATATATATATATATATATATATATTTCAATTGCCTCAAAGAGTAAGGCGCTTTGCCCCCCATTCCGAGGGGGGAATTGGCGCTTCTTAATTAATGCAGGTCATATCAATTGTCTTTTGTAATTAATTCATCCTTTTTAGCCTTACCTAGAGCTTGACCTTGGGTATCAATGTCTTCTCCCCCTTGTGTTGGCCTTTAAAGGAAGAAGACGAGTCCTTGGATCCCAGCTACCTGTCCACATTTCCTCAAACTTCTGAGCTTGGAGATGGGGAATGAGGTCCCCTCGAGGTACCACCTTCTTGGCCCCGCGAGACCCTGTTCAGATTTTGGTCCTCGATATCCCCTCAAATTCAGGGTGGGGACTCAAGATAAAAAGCGTAAGATGTCCGATGTTCCGTCTGCAGGAGGGAACCTTGAGAAGTAAAAAAAAGGAGGGACCCATCCGACTGATGAGTGGTACGTCCATAGAGGAGTGAAGGGTGGCGACTCATTCCTCGTTCAGCAAATCCAGTTATAGGATAAGTAGCTCGGGATCACTTGGTCCTTTTTCAGCAACACGACAGACAGATTTTGGACAGGGGTGTCTATTTTTCAGAAAGGGTGCCATGCGAGCAGGTGTCATGGCAAATTTATTAACAATATTCAAAATAAAATTAGTTACTCGTTAACAAAATGCTCTTACGCTCTTACCCCCCAAAAAGATTACTAATAACTTATTGGGCATGGCAACCACTTCTATTTTGTGTTTTTATTTTATGTGAAGTAAACTCTTGGGAAAAAATGATCACGACAGATTATAAAAATCACCAGTTCTTACATAAAAAAATTATAAAAATCACCTGTTCTTACATTAAAAAAAATAAATAAATAATAATAATAATAAAAAATACTCAGATCATTAAGAAAACTCGGGTCTCTATCCAACTACAGTCTTTTCAGAATGGTCAAATAAAAGAAAAAAATTATAAACTTTGAATTAAGGAAGGATAAGGGTTTTGTTAATTAAAAAAAAAAAACCCAAAGGTTTTGTTCATCATTTAAAGTGAGCAATGTATGGTTCTTATATAGGCCTTTAAAAAATGTTCTTTAAAAAATGTCACAGTTTACGAGCCTTGTTATCCAAGTAAATGAACCTTTGGACTCATCTATGGATTCATTATCTTGACTAAATCCATTGATGATTCAAAAAGTCAAGTTTGAGTGTGAACATATAAAACGGTATCTGTTTAAAATATATTTGGGTATGTAAATAGCAGTTGAATTTAATTAAAAATAGACTAAAGATAAGAAGAAAGTGAAATGGATTATTATAGAAATTTTAAATTAAATATTATTTTAAATTGTATAAGTTTTTAATTACTCTTCTATAAATTGTAAAATTATAACTATTATTGGATATAATGATAAAAATAATTAAAACTTTTTATTTCATTTTCTTAACCAATATAGTAAATTATGAGCTTATTCTATTATCTTCTTCCAAATTAAAAAAAAAAATTCAATTTTTTATAAAGATGTTTTATCCATCCATTCTTCTCTTCTTTACATTCAAAATTTTTTTTCTCACCGAAACAAGCAAAAGATATCATTATCATGTAAATATATATACAATGGAATTAATTTTGAAACACATATCTAAGAAAAAAAAAAAAAAATTGGCATTTCCAAAAGAATGTTTGGTAACTCAAGTAAATTGCAGAATGTTTCAAAAAAGAAAAAAAAGGAAAAAAAAAAATTGGAAGACTGCATGAAAAATTATGATATAATTTTTTTTTTTTTGAAAAGCAAAGCAAAATTATGATATTTACGCAATGACTTTTTATTTTTATTTTTTTGTAGAAAAATTCTTTCAATATTTGTTATGCTACAATAATAAAAATAGATGAATATATATATATATATATATATATATATATATATATGTTTTTTTTTTTTTTTTTGTATGGTATAACCGAATAACTACTATATGATTTTTATGATTTTTGTATGGCAATTTGTTAATGATTTTTACTATATGACAACAAAAACACAAAACATATAATTATCAAACCGATATTAACATATCAAAATATTCTCGGAAAAGTGTCAATTTTTTAGAATCTAATATTTTAAGGGTGTAATTTTTAATATTTTTTTTTATATTATAATAATATAGAATAAATTTTCAAATATATCTTTCTATAATGGGTCAAACTTTAATTGCTTTTACAACTTCAAGGATAAGAGAGAAAATTAAAAATATAATACATTAAATTTTGAATTGAAAAAATTATTTTAAGATAATTAATAATAAAAAGATAGGCACTTTGTTATTTTGAGACAAAAGGAAAGGAATACTATTTGACATAAATTTATGCCAAGATGACATAAATGGAAATGATAAAAAATAAATATCCAGCTCAATATTCCTCCAAAACCGTGTTTTTGATTTCAATGGGGCCTCATTGCCGAGTATGTTGACTGCTGTTGACCCCAAAAACACCGTGTAAACACCGCAACAGCCGCCAGCCTTCTAGTTCGGCTTCAAAAACAACAACCTACAACTCATCCGTACATCATCCCTATATCACTACCGTCCGATCCACTTTGCATGCAGGTGCTTGACAAGCGTCACGATCCCAATGACTCGAATGGGGATTCACCGCAACGTGTTCGGTTACGATATTAAATACATAAAAGAGCCGTCTAAGAACACGGAACGTGTTGAGTAAGCTACCGACACAGCCGACTTAAACCGACCAAATCAGCCACGTCAGAGGAAGCAACCACGTTGTTTCTTTCCGCCCTCCAGATCCTGACACGTGCACTTTCCTCAAACGGCTAGTTTTCGCGTGTCTATGGATTGTATATAAAAGATACAGGAACATAGCTAAGATATTTACCATTTCAGAAAATTCCAGTCCTTTCCAGTAAAATATAGAAAGTTGCAAGTTCATCTAGATTTTTATTTTTTCAAATTTTATTTTATTTTTAAACAGAAAGTCTAATTTATAAAACTTGACTTTTATAAACGAGACTCTAATTGAACACAGTTCTTATTTCCCTCTTCGGCACAACCGTTATACAAATCAACCATTACTGCCGACTACAAATTAGGGTTTCGTATACATCAGGTTTGTCCTGTTTATATCTTTATATATATATATATATATATATTTGTTTATAGATTCGTGTTAGGTTTTGTTGATTTTTCTAGAATTAGGGGTAACAATATCCTAAATTGTTGTTTGCTTTTGATGAAAATCAGATTTTGCTGGGAGTTTTGGATATTTGGATCAGGATTGTGAGGAATTAGAAAAGATAATGGCTATGGGGAAGAGATGTGGTTCCAATGGATCGGGGTTAGGGTTTGTACAGTACACAAGATCATTAAGTAGGAAAAGGATTGTTATTTCCAACAATTTGGAGGTTGATTCCACGGTCTCCACACCCACGAAGAAGCAGTGCAGTGAGATTTCAGTTCTGAATTATGAGAAATCTCTTCTTGAAGCTCTGCCTCAGGACATTCTGGTTAGTACCGATTCTCAAACTGTATATACATATTTGTTCCTTTTCAGTTTTGATTGAATCAGTATTGTTAAATTTGGGGTTTTTGATTTTGCAGATTAGGATATTGTGTGGTGTAACTCATGATGACTTGAAGCAACTTATTTATGCGTCAAAATTGATTAAAGAAGCGGTAAGTTATTGTTTTGAAAAAGAAAAAAACAGTTCGGAACTTTGATATGATTTTTAGCTTAAATTGAATCTGATTTGTTTTTTGTGAAATAACAGACTCTGATTGCAAAGAAATGGCATTTTGCTTATAGTACGCCTACAAAGAGTTTAGCTTTCCGAAATTCTATTGATTTGGAGGATTCAAGCGAGGCTGATGAGGTTGAAGCTCCGAATGCTCCAAAGCAGCTGCGGTGTTATCGTCCTCGAGTGAGTGGGAAGAAGCTGGCCAACATCTCAGTGGCCTTGTTTGCTTCACCGGGAGAAGAGCAGTGGCCAAGGAAAGAGTTAATTATGGATATGGAAGCAGATATATAAAGTACATATAAAAATTATTTGGGGTAAAAATTATTTGGGGTTTTGTATAGGACATTGTTGTTGTAATACTAGTGGCAATTCACGAAGTTGGTTAGATGAGGATTGAGATCTGATTTCTAGATTTCATTGGCTTGTATTCGACAATATTTTGCATTAGAAGCCATTTCTTCAACCCTTTCATTGAAGATGGGGGTGGCTTGTTTAGTATTGGTTTGTACATATGCTGACCTTTCTCTTCTGATAAAGATTATTATAGGTTGTACATATGATCTGAATAACCATGTTTTGATTTAAATAAAATAAATATAAGCAATTTTTCTTTTAAATGCTTAATTTTTTTTTCCCCTCTTTTGTGATAAGGAGTTTTTACTCATTTGATGTTTAATGTTATGAGCATCATACGGTTTGTTGTTGGATCCCATTGGTTCTAGCCATGTGTTATGGTGATATAGGAAAATCATAGAAGAGCATTTATTGAGAAATGGAGCATGAGTTGTGATGTACACAGAATTTCAGTAGAAATAGCTGGCATTGTGCGTGTGGAGCAAGAGTTGTGCTGTATGAATTATGTTTGGTGAGTGGAATGTGCTGTATGGATTATGTTTGGTGAGTAGAATAGGCTATTGGATTGTTTGGTTCGAAAATTTGCTTGCTAATGAAGATTTAATTGACAACCCAACATGGGCTAAGCATTGGCCTTAATAGTCTTCTTTTTTCAAGTCATAAAGTTCACGCTGAGGATTTTGCTGGTTGCTTCCAGTTTACCCCCTCATGTATCATTGTGCAAAACATTACAAAATAAAAGCGGAACTGCAGATTGACATGCTCAATATTGCATAAGCTAAACAGATGATCTTTTATCTAAATTCAATTAAAAGAGGTCAGTGTCTTTCAGAAGATACATCCTTCTTTAATGTCAGTCTTTCAGAAGATACATCCTTCTTTAATGCTTTTCTCAGTACTACATTTTTTTTTTTTTTTTTTTTTTTTTTATCTTTCGAACAATTGGGGTAACCCTGCTGGTTGTTAGCTAGAGATGTGAAAACTTTCGAAGTGCGTCGGCTCATTTTACATTCAAACTCGTTTATCTAATGAGCGAAGGATTTAGTGAAGAACTGAGGATCCTAAGTGTTGTGGATTTCGATTAATTACATCTTTAGTCTGATTCTGTGGGGTGGTTTCTTTAAACACCTTGAATTGCCTTGGTCTTCATTCTTTTAGGTGTTGTTGGTCTTCCTTCCCTAGCTTTTGCTGATTTTTCTTTTTTAGTAAATTAAACTGTTACTGATTTAAGACTGCTTTTGGATATCACCCCTTTTTTTCTTAGTCAGCATTATAGCCTTATAGGTGATCGCAGGAGAACTTCATGCTGAAGTTGTTGAGTAGTTAGAGACAACTTATTATCTGGATGAGCTGAAGTAATCCATTCAAAGAGGTCAATTCATCAGACCTTTTATTGCTTTTCTCAGTTTTGTTTTGTTTTGTTTTGTTTTGTTTTTTTTCTTTCTCAAACAATTTGAGTAACTCTGCTGGTTGTTTATCTTTGCCTATTTGGTATGGTTTGTGCAGAAAATGAACTGAATTATGAGAAGTAAAAATAAATGGGCAATTTGAAACAATAGTCTAAGCTAATGCAACATATAGTGCAGTAGTTCCTGGGAATGTCGATTAACATGTGTGGAATCAAACTCATAATTTTTATTTTTTTTTCTTCGAATTACTAGAATGCATCAACATATATTCATGCAAACTGAAGCAATACTATGGACTAATGGTGGTAATTGCACTAGTATTGGGGCTTGCTTTGCTTCTTTTTTTTTTTTGCCTCAGTTCATCCTGTGGTGGAATGTGCATTTTTTCTAGTAGATTGTGTTTTACATAGCAGTGAAACATGCTGCATGTCAAATGGGATCACGAGGCCTAAATTGAAGCAGGCTCATATCAATTAGTCTGGAATTTGCCTCAGAGCACAAGCTGCTTTGCCGTTCCGATTTCTAGCTGAGTTTCATCTTCAGATGTATCGTGAAGAAAATAAGGAGTCATTCTTCTTTGAGACGTTACAATAAACAATAAATTCGCGCAATCATTTGTTCATACAAGGACGCAAACCCTCAGCATTTCCTCCGAGAATTATAAAAAATACCACTATGCAACAACTTGTAAACTTACATAAATGATTTACATAAATTAAAATTATTTAAATAAGTTGTAGCATGGCATGCACAAATAATGCAATGCTATTTTTTCCCTTTTATTTATTGACATTAGGAATTTTTGAAAAAATGATTAATTATTTTTAACACATTCAATCTTTCCCATTTCACATGCTGGGGGCATAATTACATGAGTAACATCTTGAAGGATTGCCTCAGAATCGACAAGTTTAACACAGGAAAATGGAATATAAAAAAAGTAATGAACTGGGCATACTATATGTATATATATATATATATATATTTTTTTTCTCTCTCTTTTCATTCGAGCTTCTCTTTTCCCAACTCTGTCCCCAACTATAAAATTCGTATATAGTCCTGTTAAAATTAGATACACAGTGAAAGAATGTCATTTACATACTAGCTAATCCCCACTCCCAAAAAAAATAAATTAAGGTCATCTGTGTTGTATGGACATGCATGAACAATACCATTTTCTATTAATTCCCACCTTTTAGGTCTACCAAACTCTTATCTCATGTTGTCCTGTATTAAATGATTAAGCATATATTAAGTAGTTGACAATATGAATGAAATAAGTTTGAGAGGTCCAGAGGCACAGTGGTGTTGGTAGAAATTTAGAAGGTAAGTTTTTGAGATTTCGCTTTCAAATTGCACTCCTAATTTGAATGGTGCATGTGTTATGAGGCCGATACACGCAGGGGCGGATACAGGGGGCCCAAAATTTTGTTTCAGTATGGATAAATTTAGCCCAATTCCAAAAAAATAAATAAATTAGTAGTAGTATTAGCCCCTTAAATATTAGTCCATCCAAACAAACCCAAGATCTAATCCACAATTTTAAAACAAAGGCCCAAACCAAACAAGCTCTAAATCCCTAATATTAGCCCTCATTGACAATTTTTAGATTCGCCAAAAAAGAAAATTAAAAAAATAAGTCAGATGACTTTCTCTGCACAATATTGTCTAAATATTTTATATTATCTTGAGTTTTATAAAATTTACATACGTAGTAATTAAATACATGCATACATACTCATTATACGCATATGTAGAGATGATTATAAAAATGTGCTTATAAGAGCCTAAGCAGTTAAGGATTTGTACACCCATATAATGTTAGAGAAGGGCGGAATATTTAAAGGTTAAACCTTATGGTTTCTATATAGATATATATATATAAAGGGCCCAAAACAGTGTGATAAGCTTCTTAGGACATATCCCACATGGTCCACCTAGTCTTTAGGTGCAACACTGAATTGATGGTTCAGATTTGTTGTCTGCCACAATAAAAGCCTAAAAGCATAATCCAATTCATATTAAAGCATGGCTACCCCCAACAAACCAGCCCAAATGTGTTTTCCTTTTTCATATCTCAAGTTTTGTTTGCTCATAATATTGATTGTGGAGTAGGAAGTATACTTCAATCACAAACATAAACACATGATTGGCATCTTTCTCAATGAGAATTATGAAAAATCCAATGTTCCATAACTAGATATGGGGAATGCAAGTAAGTAATCATATGCCCCCTCACACCCACATTTATATGAATTATATAACACCTACATGTTAATGCGAGTGTGTTGAGTAATTAAATCTCTTTATTCGATGTATAAAAAGTAAATCATATTATAATTGTGAAAAAAAATCTATTATTATAAGTCAAAAAGAAAATATACTGATGTAATGCAAAGTAATTTTTAAGATTGATATAATACCAAGGAAAGCAAAGAGAAATTGAATATACTGATTGGATTGGTTGCCGAAGTCTATGGGTTGGCGCGCTAGAGATGGGAGCTTGATAAAATGTTCCAAGTATTGTACAAATTAATGCACATTCAGAGTATGCTATGATTGTTGTTTTCGAACTTTAGGTCTACCACTAAATCTTAACTTGATTTCCAAAAAGCCAATATTGAATGGATTGAATCTAAATGGAACAATGAATCTAAACCAAGAACCTGCCAAGGGAAGTGTGTCTCTCTTCCATGATCTAAACCATAGGCTTATCTAGCAACTTTACACGTGTAAGGGTTAAACACTACACACGCGCACGCATTACTCACACACAAGGGGTGGGTGAGAGAGAGATCAGTACTGAGGAAGGCATCTGTGTATATGATATGTTGGTTATCACACACACAATCTTTAAAGCAATTTAAAGTGGCATTCAATATTTAAATGGAATCAAACATGCATATCCTAAATCAATTATTGGTCTTAAGTTCTTAGATTATCAGATTGGATTGATTTGTGTAATTCATGTTTTCTTTCAAGTACTCCCAGGTTCAACACTTAAAAAGCGCCTTTTAGTTGTCAAGAAAAAGAAGGCTTCGGATTAACAACTTTGCCAACCACAATACTTGCTTTAAATCTTTTCATACATCTATTTCAGCAACAAGGAGTAGAATTGCAATAAATTTTTCTTTCATTATTGTAATCTTGATTTATAGAGCTTTTTGGTTACATTTACAATAAAACTTAGATAACTAGTTAAACATATCTACGTGAAGAAATTATTAGATAGTTCTAAACCATATGAACAGTAGAAATAACAAAAAGGATATATGGACAAAAATATCTTTAACTTTTAAATATAAACTATCATATAAATATAAATATATATTTAGAATTGTCAAAAATAAAAATAAATAAAAGACCAACGCCTTGATTTAGAAATAACATGGTAGATCTATGAGGCTTTACGAATTGTGGAAATGGTCGCCAATTGTAATTGTATGTGAATGATGACTAATATCTAATTAGGTAAAGAAAAATCAAAATGTTTCTCAATGATGCCGCAAAGTATAAATTAAATTAGTCCTTGTAATGCTTCTTTGTGTTTATGAATTTTCTTTTTGTCCAACATGAAAAAAAAAAAAAAAAAAAGGAGGAAAAAAAGAGACAACTTCAACATCACAAAAAAAGAGATTGGAACTTGTGAGGAATTGAAAAGAAAGGAAGAAAGGTGGTTAAAGGAAAGCCTTTTGTGAAAGAAAATGGAGAAATAATTGTGAAAGAGATTATGATAGTGCCCAAGAAACTAATGTAGTCCCCCCCAACACCACTACAACTCTACAACCATTACAATTTACAGTACGTAACCTACCCTCACCTTTTAGCTACTTTCAATCTAATTTACTACTCCACTCTTTTCTGCAGTGTGTCAGATTTCCCAAAGAGATCCAATATTGCTTGTCATTTCTCAAGAGATCGTATATTTTTATTTTGCTTTTATCAATTTAATTATTGTATTTAGACTTAAAAAAAAAAAATCAATATTAAACAAGATTGGCTCTTGAAAAATTTAAAATCTAGCCAGTCACACTGATTTTTAAACTCTTAACCATTGAATCACACAATGTGACACCATCATGATATGATTGTGTGTCAAGCAAATATTACACACACGAAAAAAAAAAAAAAAAAAAAAAAAAAAATTCTTCTTGATTTCTCTCCAAATTAATTTATGTTTGAAAAATGCAATATCTAAAAATAAAAAAAGAAAAAGGAATGGTTAGAAAACTCTGTTAACCAAAAATTGTAAACCATGTTGTAGACACCATTGTAATTTATGATTTAAGTGAGACGAAAGTCATCAATCATCTCACCCTAAACCCAAAGCATCTCTCACCCCTATATAATCAAATTCATCTTCAGTTTTCTTTTCCAAACCATGGAGGAAAAGCCATGGGCCAAATACTTGGCTGAAACCATCAACTTTCTCGAGAAAACACTTTCCCGTCTATCCTCGCACCCTCTATTCTCAAGCATTGTCACTCTCTGCACTTTAATTCTCCTCTATTTCCCTTCACATTTCTTGCAAATTGTTTTCTCCCCGGTTCTTATATCAACTGCAATTCTTTTACTCACTCTTCTTCGGTTAGCCGCATTCCAAAGGATCCAAAAGGAATTCAATTCCATCCAACCACAACAAACCCTTGATTTATTCCGGGGAGATCACAAATGGGTCGAATCATGCGAAACAAGTTCAGAATTCAACACTGCGACGGGTTTGGGTTTGGGTTTCGATTTGGATCCAAACCCGTTTTACGCCGACTCGTTCGTTGAATGGAACCTGAGAGCACCATTGGAGGTCATCTACGAAGATTACGAAGGCGAAGAAGATGATGAAGAAAGAGATGATGTTTGGAAGGAGAAAGAAGATACATGTTTTATGGGTATAGAAAGATATAACTCGTTGTCGCTGTATTACCCGGAATCTGACACGGATAGCTCGTCGGACGGCGGGTTTCCGGCGATGGGAAGCTGGGAATTGCCGGAGAGTATGTGTTTCAGGTGGGACGAGGAGGACAGAGATGGGTTGATCGAGATTCAATTGGATGGTAAGAGAACAAGTGGAGTGTTTCATGTTGAAGAAGACAATCTGATCGAGATTGACATATCACCGTCGAGAACTCCGGCGAGGAATGGTCCATTTGCAGGCAAGGGTTAGATACAGTTAACCTTGATTAATGAAAGATAAGATATAGGATTAGTGTGTTTTTGTATGGAGACAAAGATAGATTTTGAGTGCTGGGGTTTTGGGTTTTGGTAGTAAATACAGATTACAGTTGCACTTGCATCAACGTTTATGTCCATTAATCACTAAATTCAAAGATTTAAATGTAAGGATGAAATGACCAAGATACCCTCCACTTTTATGAAAACAAACAAAGAACTTTTTGTGTGCCCAGTAGTGCCACACCACCACCATGTTAAGTGCGATTATATTGTGGAAGTCTGCCAAAGATTCTCCACTTTTTCTGAAGATGTTTGAATGGGGAAGTTGTCATCTCGGAAACTTTGGCATTGTAGGAGAATTGTTGAGGACAATATATATATATATATATATATATATAGGTGGAAATTTTAAAGGCATATGTTATGTGATTGTGCCAGAGCTTCTTCTATAGAGGTTGTCCGTCAAGTCTTGCATATTGGTGGCAATTCATGGAGTCATTAGTTCCTTATTGGATTATTGTGAAAGTTATTCATTTAAATTTGTTGCATTTTAAACCTAATGTGTGTTTGCAGGAATTTTCCCCCCACATGCTCTTATGGAAGCCATTGAACTTGATTGTAAATTTTTTATTAATGGATTTTGCACGCCAAGAATAAAAATAAACAAATAAAGGTGGACTTTGGGTCAGAGCATATAATTTAGATGTAAGCCCAGAATTTCACCAACATTTAAGTGAAACAAATTTAACATGCAAATGGAAATAAAATTGCACACATCTCATGGAAAATGAAAAAAATAAAATAAAAATAAGCACATGAAAAGTTTTAATTTATTGAATAAGAATGAGGTTTTGTTTTAAGGATTAATAATCATAAATGCAAATTAGTGGGTGTGTATGCTTTGGGCTTCAATAGCATGGTTTTCTTTTGTTCTGGGCTTGTCCTATATGTCAAGCCTGTGTTTTATGGGCTAGTTATGGCCCAAGGACTATCATGTATTTGCAATTTGCTTAAATAGATTTGAATCTATCTATCTATATATATATATATATATATAGTTTCATCATATATGCTTTGATTATATTATAATGATAGCTGCTTTGACCCACAAATGGCTGTCACATGTGGTGCTCATTCTGTTTTCTGAAGGGGGCCATTGATGTTTTCTCAATTAAGTTTAGTGGGTCACTCACTTCCTACCCATTAAAACTGCATGTGTGGCACTTCATGTTGATCTTGTGGCAGCCACAGCCACAGCCACAGCCACAGCCACCGCCCACCGGAGAAGAGTCAGATGAGCAACTCCATGTGCCTTGTGCGACGGCACCGCACCTTCATTTTTGCACTCTGGAGTCAATTTCCGTGGTTGACATTGATAGAATAATATAGAATCCACCCATGATCGACTAATGGTTTTGTAGCTGGCATTTATTTATAATAACAATTTTTGCTGGCTGCTAGCTCTCTCATTCTACGTACTCCATAATTCATCAAATGCTGCTTCTGCTGTATGTTACTTCAATAAAATATATATGTACGCAACGTTCTTCAATTATTTTATTCATAAATTAGTCAATTTTCCACCTTTAATATTCTTCTGGACCACCACAATTCTAACTACCCGTTTCGTTTACATATTAGTACATTAATTACTACGCTTTAATATGATTTGTTTGAGCTGGTTGTCATGTTCTGAATGTGATTTTGTAAGCAAATGATGCATTTCAAAAGTACATCTGTTTGTTGCTTCTCATTATCATGTTTACAGGTATTTTAACATATTTCTAATAATAATAATTAAAAAAAAAAAAACAATTCAAACCCACCATGAAAATTTATTATTACATCTTCGTATGGTTATTTATGTTTATCAAATAATTAAAAATGAAAAAACCCATGATTTCAATTTTAAAATATAAAATGACACCTTAACAGTCCGATTGAGAAGAGCATGCAACCCACTTGTCTTTTCTGGGTGTCTGGTGTACAATTAAAAAGATGGTTCATATTGAATTGAATGAATGGTACATTTATTTAATTTTATATCCTAGACTGTAAATGCAAAGGAGATCGATTGGCAAGTAAATATCTGGGCACTCTTGTGATTGGGACAATTCAACACACCCAACCACACACACACACACAGACATATATATATATTGCCAAGTCCAAGCAAGACGGAGAATAAAGTGGTGTACATTGGATATGAATTGTCATTAGATCGATGAATTCTGCTACCAACAGTGTAGAGAACAAAAATGGTGGTTTATGAAGCTGCTCATCTGTCATTTTCTTTCTATTTGATATGGCTCCATTTTACATCTCTACTTTTTTGAGGCTGAGTTGTCATCCTCAATCCTCATTGGTGTGTATTATGAAGTCTGGACTGGGTTTTATTATTATGCTAGCACGTATTCCATAATCCGTTTGCTTGCTTAGAATACAAAAAAACGTCGTCGTTCCGAGTTACTTGATATCCTTTTCCTCGCAATTTCTCAACATAACCCCACAATGAAAAAGACCCTTTTTTCCTATTTTCCCCTCCATTTGCTTGCTTAGAATACAAAAGAGATAAGATTTCATCAGCTAATATTATATTATCTTAACTGATTGTGCCAGTTTAATGGGGTTATAAATTTATAATTATCTTATGGAGGTCTGATTCTTCAATCTTGATTTTTAACTTTACTAATAATTGTCTCAGCCTCTGCCACTTGATAATTTTAATGGATTAAATCTTTGCAAGTTGGTGACTTGGGTGAAACAAAGTTGAAATGTCTAGTCGATTGCAAGTAAATATGCTGAACTTTACCGTCAGATAAATAAGTCACCTGGTAGTCCATATTGGAGTACTATTCAGATTGAATAATCCATCATTTACGGTCCAACAAATTGGTCCAATTTGATTTGTGGTCCACTTAATTAATGCCCAGTATTAAGGTCTTCACTGTGGGCCTGTTGCTCCACCACCTAAATGTAGTATTTGATTTTCAGTACTGGGTCAAAAATTTGGATTGCACTGAGCTCTTCATCAACACAGACTCATGATTGGGCAGTCTGGTGTAATGAATTAGGACGAACATAAGAGTAAATTAGTTGAATCGGTTGATTCATGAACATATGTAATGATATCGGATGGGCGCACATGTATTTTGTATCCATGGTAATTTTTTTTTTTTTTTTTGGTGCTTATCAAAAAATGGTTGATAATATCATGTTGAAATTGCTTTGTTTTGGGGTATGTAGTGTAATTTTATAATTTTGACTTTGAATTTTTTTTTTAAAAGAAGTTATATAAAAAGAAAAAAAATAAATCTCTAATATATAAGAGAAGTTTCCTAGGTAAAAGCGCATTACCTTTTCATTTGATGATGACTTGATGTAGGTCCATCATCCATGAAGAAGGGGGGACCATGGTATCTTTGATATTTTTTTAATATTTATTTAAAAAAAAAAAAAATCAACTTTGACTTCAAATAAAGAAGCAAAACATAAAAAGTACATAACGTAATGCGACAATGCCAGTTAATCTTATTATATTAGAGAAGTTGATACTATAATCAGCGGTCGAAGGGTCATAGATTCTCACCATAAAAACAGTGGGACGCAACACAAATTGAAAAATATTCATTACTTTAACTCACAACTACTAGGACTTAGTTATAAATAATAAAAATTCAACAATTCAATGTGAATGTAAAGCAATTGCAATTTATAACCCATTTAATTATGTGTAGGCCAACCAATTAACCACATAAGCATTTGTGTGAATGTAAAGCAATTGCGATTTATAGCTGAAGCATTCATATGGGTTGATGAAACCCTACTCCTTTTCCATGGAAAATCTACTTGTTTTGGATCATAACAATTGACTAAATAAATAATTACTTTATTAATTCTAATCAAACATACCCAAACTTGTCTCTTAACTCTTTTTATTTTTATTTTTTTATTGGATAAGATGCTATAAAACCACCTACAAGTCTCCTAATTAAAGATGACTGACCATGAAAATTTAAGCTCTCTCATCAAATACCAACTAATTGGCCAATTCGAGCATAGAAAGTCTCCACTTCTACATAAGATTTACTGATATTTTTCCATTAAAATGAACAGAACTACTTTGAAATCCAACTAGTACTGTTAGTTCGATTAGAGTCTTACTTGATAAGACTATAATGTTAATTTAATAAAAGAGGAATAATATAAGTTTCAACAACTTCAGAGGATTGGCACCTCTTATAAGAGTCCAATTAATTGTTGTCTTTTTCATAAATGTTTTAAATTATTGTAACTTTTTATCTACCATGTTAAGAACTTAATGAAGTTCGGATTTAGAAGGCTCATTTTCAAGTCAATGTCTTTTTCTTTTCATATTTTTATTTAGAAATTTTTTATGCTTTAAATATACATGTTATTTTCTTGAAAATAAGAAAATAATTAGGGTTACATCAACACATAAACAAATACTTCGAATACTACTTTAAGAGTATGGCATGATATTACAGAAAGTAACAAGTTCATCAAATGAAAAACATAAAATTGAAATCTATGCATACTAACTATACACTGACTGACCGACATGAGATGAGATGGAAGACATCGAACAACAGACCTATAAGACTTCGACTATTCAAGTTTTTGAATTGTCTCTGTCACAATTAATAGCTTACATAACTTCTTTTGAAATAATATAAAATGAAATAAAAACCCCAAGACATCATAGGAAAAGTACTGGCATGAAATGCAAACAAGTCAAAGCACGTGTTTTCTATATCCAATGAATTTTGTTTTATCGGGAAAAAAAAGTGAGTAGTTTTTTCTCTTTATAATTTGATCAAACAGAAAGATTCTTTTATTTATTTACAAGCTTTACTGTCCTTTAACATTTAACTTTATTAAAAAAATATAGTGTATCTTTTTAATAAATAAAGAAAAAACATTTTAAAATTCACTTTGTAAGAAATAACTGAGAAAATAATATTTAATGCC